ACACTTTTCGGATGTCTCTGGCCAAAGAAAGCTACAGCTGACTTTTTGCCATTTTTGTTTTACAAATGGAAACATGCTAACCATTCTTGAATTGTCTGCTAAGTGTCTGATGCTGTTGGAGATCATTAAGGTTCAGTAGTTCTAGGGGAAGTAATGCTAGCCACTGTTACAGTTGACAAAAGCAGTGTCTTTTGTAGGTAACATACCACTGACCAAATAAACCTATTTTCTGCCGTTTTGCTTATTATGTAATGATACCGGTAATGTTTGTGAGACTGGTATTTTTGTTTTGTAATCTCAGGAGAGCAAGGGTAGCTTTGACCTGTTGCTGTGTCCTTTCAGCGTTCTGGTCCGTCAGTGAGCAGCTGAGCGCCGGTGGGGCTGGGGGCAGAGGAGGGTTTTCTCTGAGAGCTGTATGCATGAGTCAAGCCGAGGGAAGAAAGGGGAGGAATTGATTCTTGCTGTCTTGATGTACAACCACGTGTAGGCACACCTCTAGAAAGAGTTCCTTGCTTTCAGCGCTGGATAGACAGTGATGAGACTTCTCTCTCCACTCTTTCTTTTAACTCCAGCAGAACTGTGAGGCAGAGTTTGGTATGATACCATGGAAGGGCAGCATAACCATCCACATCATCTAGGAGACCAGAACAACCCTCTCTGCAAGCTGCCAGGGCAGGAATACCAGCATGATCCTCAGGTAAGTGCCTGTGTCTCTTTAGTCTTTCTCCTTCAGTGTTTTCTTCCCTTCCTTTTATAAAGGTCTTTAGATTTCTTAGTATGTAGCTTCCCCGCCTCTTGTTTAGAGTGCAGTTGAGGCAGTTTTGGGATATATCCAGTTTGGGATCCTGCCAACCAGCCAGAGTTTCCTGAGTCCAGTTTTTTTATGATGGTAAGAGAAAAAGGAAGTAGTTTGAATTTTGCTTAAAGCGAGTATTTTAAAATCATCTAATAAAAACATGTACTGTGTTGGCTTTCTCTTCTCTTGGATTCTTTGAAGAAAAGGCCAAAAAAGAGCAGTTGATTGTGTAAGGGAATAAATGTATTTTATCTCCTTTTATAGTTTAACAATAAATGCTGAAGAGGTAATTATCAAATACAAGAAAAAGTTCATCCGACATGAAACTGTAGGCTCTCTGACTTCATTTCCTGTGAGTCTCTGTAATCTCTCCTGCAATGTATTTTGTCTGTACTATTACCAAGTTTCACTACAGCAGCTCATATGACTCTCTCTTCCCTGCCTTTCTGCAGAAGTGGGCTAAAACTAGGGTTAGACCTGTGTTCAAAGTAGTGTTGATACCTGGACTGTAATCATGAAACTCGCATTTTGTGAATTCTGGCTGCTTGTCTTTTTTTCAGACTGTCTACCTGTTTATCAGAACAATTAAGTTTTACCTATATGTATTTTAAGGAGTAAACAAAAAGCATCGTGGAAAAGCCATCAGAAAGAAGACTATTGCAACTGTGGTGTAACGTTACCTTGGGGAGGGGGCTGTGGTTGTTAATTTGTCATTCCAAATGTGCAGTCCAGTGGTGATCCAGGTTCCTTGAACAAGAAGTGATCATTAGGAAAGCCGTATCAGAACACAGTATAGGATTTGCGAAAGTGGTAAGTTGCCTACACGCAGAGTACAACGATGAGCGTATCTTAGGCAGCACTGCTGGGAAAGTAACATTGCATGGAGCAAAGCCCTCCTCTCCTAATGTGGCAATTTGTCATATTAAGTCATTTAATAATAATTGAATCCCCTTGATTAATCTCCTAGAATTAGCCAGTTGCATTTTGAGCAATTAGGGTTAATTACTGTCTCATTTGGCAGGATAGAGCCCCTGTAATTATTTCATGAACAAGATCAGGAAGTGTTCCTGTGCAGCAGATACATTCATGGCATCTTGGAGCACATGTTAGAATTTGTAATGACATAGTTAAGTGTAATTAGTAGCTAATAATCTATGTTCTGCTGCTATGCTGATGCTGAGTGGGCTCATTTTGCTGTATGGTCATTGTTCAATGAAACCTCCCCTCAACTCTGTTGATATTCAAGTTGTGTTAATGGAGGTCTCTGAGTATATTAGCTGTTCTGAGAATGATCTAATTTGGAATTAGGATTGCAGAAAGACTTTCTTTGTTTTTGCTGTTAAAATAAAATTCTTAAAAAAGGTGAATAGCAAAAATATGCTGTCTACCAGAGAACTGAAAAAATGCATCTCCTCAGCAAACTCGGTTTGGAAATTAACAAAAATTGTACTATTTTGAGGGCAGGCTACCTTACACTCATGGCATGATATGATTGCTTATTACATATTTCCCGTTTTCCATTTTTCAGGAACATAATTATATGTAATTTTCAATTTTCTGGTACCTATTACCTGGAAGAATCCAAAATTACATAATTTCTTTCTTCTGAAGATATAAGTAATGCAGACATGCTATGTAATAGCTGGTGGAAGAGAGAAAGGTTTGGGAAGGAAGAATTGACCAAACTCGTCGTACAAGAAGTGTCGTGAATGACAAGGATAAAAGCTTAGGCAGAAAAAACAGAACTTGAGCTTTTAGAATCTTGGATGGGGAGGGCTTTTTGTATGGAATGCTCCTCTTCTTTCCAGCCCTTTCATTCAAAACTACTGTGTCACCCCCCAAAAGACCAGAACAACATTGTGCTCCTCTAGTAGAAACTTTCCATACAATTATGCTGCTTCCTAAAGCTTTTTTTCTTTGCATTCTGACAGAGGTGTTATTTCTGTTCTATAACTAGTTAGTATAGAGCTATAAGTGTATCAGACTTCTTTCTGTCTGTAACTACTGTAGTTTAGTAATGAGATGACACTTTTGAGTAATGCTTCGTATTTAGAAGTTTTATAGAATAAGTGAACATATAAATATAAAAAAGGCCCAATAAAACCACAGTTTTAGCTTCTGGCTCCCTTACGTGCCCAGCATTACCCTGATGAAGCTTGTCAGCAAGAGGCAGAACATTTTCTAGTAATATTCCACAGTGAAAGTGTCAATTATTTAAGTCTTTAGATTACTTAGTGTTTATAGAAGTAAACAATAAAAGTTATTTAGGAGTAAATCGGTGATATAAAAATACAGAGCTATAATTTTTGACTTAGTTTTTGTACTAAATAAACACAGTAACTCACTTTTAAGCGACTTTTTTATATACTCGCGTAGCTTAGCAGCAGAGCTGTTTGTGGTACTTCCATTTTGATCTGTGAATTGAAGGTAGATTTGAACTAGTCATCTAGCAGCAAAGACTCTTCAACTTACTGTTTTCTGAAATGCTTAGATTATTGCTATGTTAATACTAATTTCTTTGTGAATATCACCTTGGTCTACTATTTTCAAGCTGGTATTTCTCTCTTTCCTTGTCATAAGGTAGTACAAATATCTGCTGTTAGGGATGTTAGAACTTTGAAATTCAAGCCAAGCTGTTCAGCAAACTTTAAATTCTATGTAACAGGTCACGTTAAGGATATTTTATGATGACTGTGTAGTCTAGTTTTGAAGCTGCAGATTGAAAAACTTTATGTATTCTTCAATAATTACTTGACTACCTGTTTGAAGGACAATCCATATTTCAAAAGTTTCCTCATCTCTTGTGAGCTTAGAAGTTATTTTTTTAATCAGTCTGTTCTAATGTGTTCTTATAAATTCACACTGGAATTTCAACCTCAAAGTATGCAAAATTCTTTTTAGGTAGGCATTATTGAATGGTGATGGGTGTATAATTTGGGACATCATAAAGAGGTTTGAAACGCTGATGTTCATAGTAAATCATTGATTATAATGTATACATGTTCAACTGGAGGGGCTGAAGCTTCCCCATCTTCTATTGCAGATGTCTTTTAAAGGTGTAATTAGTTTACAGTAAATGTCATTCAGATGAAGTATGCACTTTAGAAGCAAGGAAACCATTCCTTTAAAATTAATGATGCATTGCAAATATCAGAAAAAAAACTTATATCCAGCGTAAAGATAATTAAAATTCAGGTCAGAAGTGTATGACTTAGTCGGGGTAAATTTTTTAATGAGATTTCAGAAAATTAATTGGGCGAGTATGTTTTTACTCTTCTAAAGAATATTTCATTTCATGGCTCTACAGGAGAGATGTTTTTATTGGCATCTAAAGATGGTAGTGTCTGACTTTTTAACTGTTGGTTAACCAGTCTTTAATGATTTTAGGTTGATTACAAATAATCTAAACATCTCGTGACCTTGTAGCCATTTGTGCAGACTGATGACTAGTGCTGGCTTTCCACATGCCGATCAGACAACAGTAAAACAACTGACTTTATTATTAATTAACATTAACACTCTGGGTTTATATATTGTGCAATTAGCAGCGAACATTCCCCTTTTTTTCAGCTTATTCAGGCTTATGTTTTTCCATGCCTCTGGGAGAAGCAGTCATACAGGCATTGCTCTGCAGCTTGTTAGTATTTTACTCTTGGTATTTTGGTCTTTGGTCTCACAGTCCTCCTTTGCCTGAAACGTTGGGTTAGAGGCTGCAGAAAAGGCTGCTTGGACGGTTTTCTCAGGACTGTTCAGGATTTCCCCAGCTCTTAAATTTATCTTTGTGTAATTATTTATTGGCCAAACGTTAATGGTTCTGGAGATTGAAAGGATTTCTACAGAACATTTTTTTCCTTGTTCTTCCTTATCCAAAAATAGAAATTCTGAGCTATACATCTACTCATTTAAAAAAAAATACGAAAAATATATTCAGGTTATGTAGCTGTCCTACCTGCATGTGGTTATAGCAGTGTATGAAGGATTTGGAGGAAATTGTATCAAATCTACAGTTGTAAATTTTGGCATGGTTGTATCCTTGCATGCTCAGAGAGCCACCTCTTGTCAGGCACCTCTGGTAGCACTGTAACAGACATCCTTGAAAATGTGGAGATGTAGGTAGAAACGACATCCTATCACCAAGGAGCAAGTATATAGCAAGGAACTTTTCCAAGTGTGTCATCCTCTGTATTTGCCTGAGTTGCTTTATAATCTGGTATGTAGAGACTCCTATTAATCTTTAAGTTTCTTATTCTTGCAGCGTATGTGTTCAGGTGTGTACAGGATGACATAACTGAATTTTTTATTTAATTGGATTTTTTTTAGCATTACAGAACCTTACTGATTCTATTTTTCAGAAAATCTCATAACACCTCAGAATTTTAAGCTGAAAGTTCTGGCAAACTTCCCCCTTAAGTATTGCGACGAGGGTTGTCGTTGTATACTTTTGCCAGCTTTGAGATTTTTGCTGTAGCATCAGTGATTACATCTAAAAGAGAACAAGTATGCCAGAGATGTTGTCCAGAATGGCTTGGTCTTGGAATAATCTCTGCATTTCTTTTTAAAAATGAATAGCCTCTTTATTCGAATGAGGAATTAATTGACTTCAATCTTTGCCGCCCCCCTCCTCCCCTTTTTTTTAATGGAGTAGTAGAAGAATGAAACTTCATTGTGTGGATAAAGAGAACAGCCTTTGTCTCAAAACTAGTTCGTCCCAGACTGTCCCCTTCCTACAGCTGCACTGGGAACAGAAATGTGCAAACAGCCCAATTTTCATAGTGTCTTTCGAAGTCCAATGGTTGGAGAGCTTGCTTGCTTGCTTGGTTTTTTCTCCCCTCTTTTTATTTCTCTTTTTTTATTCAGGCTCCATTATGGACCTTGAAACCTGTTGTGCAGAGACAGTGGCTTGGTTTTACTGAATTAATGCAGACCTGAACCCTTCACCGAGCCTGAATCTGTCCTGAAAATGAAAGAACCTATTTTTGAGGAACAGATTTGAAGATGATAGTGGTATCTAATTTGACACACAACTTACACCTGTCATCAGATGTAAACTCTCAGATATGCAGAAATAACGAACACGGTTTATTTGAATGAATGTGTATTGGTTCTTCGACAGCTTTGTGAAAAACTGTAGTGGTTAAACATGGAAGGACTCGGAAAAAATGGAAGAAAGTGGAGTTCCGCTTGTCAAAAGTCATGAAATAGGTGAAATGTATGCAAGGCCAGACTATAGGGATGGTATTCTGAGGAGGTAATTGTTTCTTAGGTATTCTAAATGTATCCTTGTAACAGTATTCAGAAGAGTTACTTGCTTATGTTTAAGTACAGTAAAGCATTAGAGAAGGTTAATTTTAAACAGACTTATGGGGAGAATGGACTGCTGTAATCAATAGAGAGCTTTCTGGTATGGTTTGGCTTAACCCGAGCATGCTCTCTGGTTCGTACCATAATCAAACATCTTCTAGCCTGTACGGAAGCTCCATTACTTTAATTAGGTCTGATAGGTTGTGATAGCAAATGCAAATCTAGGTCATTGCATATGTAAATGTGCAGCTGTAGTCCTGGAGGATGCCAGAACATATCAGCTAAGGTGTCCACTCATCACCCGGCATTAACTCCAGCATGGCAAGCAGACTTTTTATGCTAACCATGTGAAAGTGGTTAGGACGCACACATACACCCTGTCACTTGCCTAACACTTATTTATATTTTCAGGTTAAGAACTTGCTAGATATTTCTTGGCACATGCTTAAAATATTAATTTACACTTAAACATTCTTAGTTTAAACACACAATTTAATGATTTATGAAGGGCAAATGGATACCATCCTTGACTGCAGCATGGATTTCTTCCTGAGAAAGGAAGTTTTGTGGTAGTTGCCTCATAAAATCTTGTTAAAGCTGCTACCTCTATTACGAACGTTAGCTCCAAGTTAGAAAAACTTCTGCTTAAACTTTGTTACTGCTCGGGAGGCATGCATTCATGGTTAAGGAAATGCTTTGATTCCTTTCTATTTTTTTAATTAGGAAAAAGTGTTTTGTAATTTTATATACTGATACCTGAGTAAAGCTATTTGACTGGACAGCTCAATTAACTTGCTTAGTAGCTCAGATGTTAAAAAAGTTGGGAAATGGAGATGTTCTGGTTAGTTACCAGTCAAGTTGAACAAGTGCTTGTGTTCAGACATTCTTCTGGTGATTTTTGTCTCTCAAAAAATGCATGTGAACTAATGTTTCATTAGCACTCCCTGGAATGAGATGAGTATTCCTGTATTACTGTAATGTATGTTGAGGAGTATAACTGTTTATCAAATCCCTGCAAAGAGACATTGCAAACAATTTAAACTGAGAAAGCTGCAGGGGCTGATTACTTTGAATATTTACTTGTATTGTTTCATCCCATGTTGCCTTACTTTGTTGATAATTTAGTAACTTAAAGAGAAATGTACATAAATAACAAAGCAGTGTTATCTTAACATTCTGCTATTTATCTCATGACCCATAGGCTACCTTTTTCCTCATCAGTGAAAGGATACTCCCATTTTATGGTATAGTATACACTGCAAAACTTAGAGGAATGAATCTTGAATCTTCATTTTAATTTTTATTTTGCTGTGTTATAGCTTGTAAATTCAGTATAACTTCAAGCACAGCACAAGTACCAAGACTGACCTTCCTTTGCTTGCTAACACAAACTTTGAATGCAGCCAATGGTGGCTGCGCAGTAAGGTGGGTATCGGGACTTATTTCAGGATATAGGGGAGACTAAAGTGATCTTAAAAGGGAAATGTTCCTTGAACTGTTTAAAGGAAATACTTGATGAAATTAGCTTAGCTTCCTATTTCTGAGTGACTCGCCTTCATGAAGAACTGCAAATTCTAATGCAGCCTTCTTATTTGTGTAGGTTATTGTTCATGAATTAAAATTTTTATTGTGTCATCTTTAGCCTAGAGAAATGAAAACCATTTCTCATAGTATGAAAATATTCAAATGCTTGTGGTGATGAATGGAAAAAATTACCTGTGGCCTTGGCATTTCAAAAATAATTACCTGAAGTGTCGTTTCATCTGAAAAGAAGGGGGTTTGCTCTTTTAGGGAACTTAAACTGAGAAGGCTGATAATCATGATGGCCTGGAGTTAAATTTCCAGTTATGTGCCTACTTGAATTAGCAGGCATTGGCTGGACACGATGGTATTGCACTTTTGTCTTTTCTGGAGTTCGTAACGGTCTAAGCTGTTCAGTGTAGCAACAGTCCTCTCTTTTCTGAACGGTGGAGCTTTAGCCGCGGTAGGTTCTGAGCAGCTGACGCAGGGCAGTGGTGTGGAAGTGCAGGGCAAGCTCGAGCAACAAACAGCCTTTCACTGACAGGGAGATGAGGGGGAAGATGACAACAAAGAGACCTGACAGTCTTTTCACTGTCTGGCTTGTGATTTGTATCTGCATCTCTGTATCATCAGCATTTACAAAACATAATGATTTTTCTTGAGTATGCCTGCAGTAGAGTAGCTTTCGTTGTAGGGATTTCTCCTGCTTTTGTAGTGATAGAGATGCTGTAAAGGTGACAGTTTTCCAAATAGCTTGTCTTGGTTGATGCAGTTTGTGGGTCAGAAATTACTATTTAGGGGCCTTTATTGGTGAGTGTTCTTAAAAACATTGAATTTTACACCTTTGTTGACAAAAGCTCTGCCAAGGAATTGTGATTGTAGTTCAGAGTTGCACAGACACATGTAAATCTGGAAGCTGTTTCAAATGTCTGATTGATACTTGTTTGTTGAAGAGTAGTCATTTTTATTTCTCTTGTAAAGAAAAGAAGTATAAACTTACTTACTCGTCAAAATGAATATACACTGTAAGAGGTCCTCACACTGTCTGGTATGTGGTGCTGGGAAAAGCTACTGGACTGAAAGCTTTACCTGCATTTTAAATCTTACTTGCAGCCCCAGCCCTCTGTTAGGAAATGAGAGTGGTAGCAATGGTCATCTCCTTAAAACATCTGGCCCTGCTGGCCTGCTCTCCCTGGACGCTTGTGCTGGGACTGTCTGCTAAAGCCTCAGCTGTAAACAATGGCTGTGTCTCTGGGAAGCCTCCCAACTTTTGTTGTATACTTGTCTTTTTGTGGTTTTTCGATGGGAACTCTGAAATGGCTCAAGATCCTGAAGCTTAAAAATATTCTACTTGGTGTTCATGGCAACTTTAAGTAATTAATTTTCATAGTTTCTTTTTTAAACATTGGTTAGCAGTCATGTTAAATACAGAAGAAACCAGAATGGCTCTAGAGAGCAATTGCTACTCCATGGAGTACGTAATCCTTGTTACGCTGTGTCTACCTACCTGGCTGGGTATTTACCTGAGACTGCTCAGAAGTAGGCATCAGCGTCTCCCAAGTGACACAAGCAGGTGAAGTTGATGAGAGGGTGTGTAACTAGGGAGACAGTGGTTTGGGACTAATTAGTTACTTACACAAAAGGCAAGACTTTTTCCTTCTTTAAAAAGTCATTTAACTTAATTCAGCCTATGTAACTAAGACATTTACTAAGAATTAATGCATTTATGGTCAGAATTATCTATAGACTGATAAACCTAGATTAAATTCTTGACCATTAGCAATGAGAGCAAGAGAGTCGCACATTTGGCGATATTACCTCTGTTCTGTACATTTTTGGTAGCTCTTACTAGTTTCATGCTTTGATTTGGTTCATACTTTTATACAAGCCTCTGCTGTTACGTGTGTGTGCGCTTGCAGCTGCATGCCACATTTTTATATTGCGACTGCTCTGGTACAGCATTGTCTGAAGTGGACAAAGAAAATACGAAGGTTGGGAAAGGAAAGCCAGACCGCTCTGTTGTCCATTGTACACCAAATCACCACCAAATTTGTCTTTCTTACTGGGCAATCCTTACCGTGACAAATTTATCCCCCTGAATATGATTAGTCATAGAAACCGCTAGTTTGCGGTCATAAAGAAGACAGATTGGGAATGCGAATTCATGTTTTTGCATCACTTTTTCTAGCTCATTAATTTAATTTCTTTTGACTTGAACAGAGACATTTAACGTCATACCCATATCGCTGCACATTGGCAGATTTTCAGATAGAGAAAAAGATTGGACGAGGACAATTCAGCGAAGTTTACAAAGCGACTTGTCTTCTGGACAGAAAACCTGTGGCGTTAAAGAAAGTTCAGGTGAGCATTTGAGTTCAAAGTCTTAATATTTAGCGGTAGAATGGGAATGTTTTAAGTGTCTATGCAGATTACTTCAAGTCATGTACCTCTCTCAGTATTCTTTTGTCGGCTCATTTGATATTTTACATTAAAAAAACACAACACTGCTTTCTTATTTTATTCAGTTGGGTTTTAGAGGGTTTTGTTTTGGTTTTTTACTTTATTATTTCAAGATAAGGAATAAAGAACAATGCTTCTGAAGGTCTCAAAGCAGTTTTACAAACACCGATTGAGTCAGGTTGGTTCCGTGGTGCTCAGTTTACATCTGGATGTAAGAGACCACATGGCCTCACTGTGCTCCTATCTGCCCCTCGGCTCTATCCTCTGGCTATCTTCTCCATATAGCCCATATATCCTATATGGGACCCTCTTTCCGTTTTGAGCAGCCAATTTGCACTGCGTGGTCTTTATCGCTCGTCACCTTGAGGTGGGTTTATGTTTCTAAATCAGAATTATGTAGCAGTAGTGCAATTCCATATTTGTTTTTAATTTCACTTTTTACTTTATGAAGAGGGTTCGCTAAATTATAGTTAAATGTGTGTGAAAGAATGAGGCCCTAATGGCCATAGTCATACAGCTGGGGGACTGCCACCTCGACCCAGATGAATCATGAGAACACAAGAGGGAAAAATGCCTGCAATTGCTGATGGAATTTAGAAGAATTTCTGAAAAACTTTCACGCAAGCAATATAGATTGTAACACTTGTGCAGTGTTCAGAACAGCATTTTGTTTGAAGAAATTTGCCTTTAATCCTTCAACAGGTCCTTTAAACTCTTGCATCTAGCGACTTACTCTGATGATTACAGAATAAATATTAATGCTCTACATTATTGTAAATTATTACAGAGAAATCAGTGGAAGCTGTATCTCTGTTTAAAAGAAAAAGTAAACATTTTATCTTTTATTTACCATGCGAAATTAATAGTAACTAACTGTGACTATGTTTTGAAAATCACAACAGCAAATTCACAAACTATTATCTTTATTTTTTGTGCCACTTAGAATACTGCTTACAGGTTCTAAAATTAATATTACCCTATCGCTAGCCCGTTAGTGGTTTCAAAATAAAGAAAACATTGATCTTTCTTTGATCTGGGGATTGTGTGTATACTCATTACAGTAGAAGATATATAAATTGGGGGAGGAAAGACCCAGTTCGTGTTAAAATATAAAATTCTTTTTTTGTTGTTTCATTTTCATCTTTTGTGTTTTTGTCTTTGAAGATTTTTGAAATGATGGATGCCAAGGCTAGGCAAGATTGCATTAAAGAAATTGACCTCTTGAAGGTAAGAATTTGTACAGTGACTTTTTCTCGTTTTTGTTTTGAGAAAAAAAATTGTTTTCAAGTTGGCAACAGTCATTTGCCTTTTACAGTGAATAAAGTTTATATAGCACACACAATCATCTTGATAGGCCGTGCTTTCTTTTGTAAGCTAGAATGCCTACATGATGCAAGAGTTTTGTCTTAAATCTTAATTTTATTCAATTTTCTGCCTACAGTTTAAGCCTATAGTCTATTAAAAATCTTTGTCATAAGAAAAAACACAAGTACTCCTCTTTCAGAGAGGCATGTAAATTCTACCCTTTATGTGTGTTGATTTGTTTGTCACTTAAAAATAAACTAATTCATGAACTAGCAAAATGGGAAAACAGGTTTGAATGTGCAAGGTTGTGTATGTACATGCATACATCTCACACATGAAAAAGGTAGTTTAGATGAAGGCTCTGAAACGAGGGAGTGTTTTTTTTAAGTGATTAAACCAACTAGTGATTTTTTTTTTCCATCTCAGTAATTTATTTCAAAATGTTGCTAGAAAATATATATGCATTGCACTTTAAATATCTATTTTGAGTAAATGCAACAGATTGAAGAAGGCTAAAATTTTAGTTTAGTCAAATTCTAAAAGTATGAAATACCTAAAATCACATTTACAAAATTAATTATTTCTATTTAAATTGTCAGTTTATATTCATGCAGTTGTAGACAGCTTGAGTCTGCTAGACTGTTGTGAAGGCATACAGGATAAACATGAAGGTAGCAGTTTGTGTGAATGTGATCTAGTTGCTTAACAGTTGTGGAGAAAAATAATGCCAAAGTTAACATTCAAAAAGAGAATTTGTGATGTTTTTGGGTTGTAGGTAATCTAAACAGTTTTGTCTTGAACTCTGGTTATGGAAGATGTCATAAACTTGCACTGGATTTATTCAGAACAGAATGTGCAAATTTATTAGAATCAGAGGAAACTGAAAGCAAAATACCTACGCTGACAGGAGGCTCTAGAAGGTCAGCTCCCATCCACCTGTGTGGGATGACCAAAGGCAACTTACCTTCTTGAGTGAAGCTCACCAAGAAGCCAGGTATCAAACCAGGGTTACTGTAGTGGCTGAGTTGTGAAAGAGGATACAATACACTGGGCTGCATAGGGCTTCCCTATTCACTGCTGAAGACATTTAAATTCTATCTTACTCTCCCCGCTCTAATACCATCGCCAAAGCTGTCTAGTCAAGCTGTGGCCGTATTGGCAGCCTGATTCAGCTCCTTTTGAAGTCAAAAGCTATTGTATCTGTCTCTGGGCCAGTGTATTTCAGTTTAAAAACCTCTGTTTGTCTGGAGTTAAGCAATATCTGTGCTTATTCTGAAGTCTTTGGTGGTTGTGTTCCAAGCAGAGTAGCATGTTTGCGATGCTTACAACTTCTTGTTTGTGATTTTTTTTTTTTTTTTTTTAAATAGTAGCTGCAGCTCTCTGGGGGGAGTGAGTTTCTGTCATAGCAGCAGAGTGCAGTTCTGCTTTGAAAAATACTGTTTGATAAAATTGGATTGTTTTGGAAAATGTTTTGTAGAATACTCGAAAACATTCTGGTAAATTCATTTAATTGGGTGTGAAGGGAGGAGCAGGAATAGTTACCAACAGTCTACAGAAACACACTGATATGCTGTTTGATATGCAAAATGTTACAGTGCTGCTAGTTTAATTATTATTTATTGTTGAAAGTCAACAAATCTTCCTACTTGGACGGTTGTGTAGCACCATCCAAGGAATCTAAAGTTTGAGTATGTTAAAAAGTCAGTTTGATGAATCCTGTTGTATTACAGGTGCAAAGGGGGTATATTTCTTAATATTGCCTGTATTTCACTTCCTTCAAATGACTACTAGTTTTTAACTCGGAGCCAACAAAATCCATTTAATTTTATCCAAGGTGCCTATAGCTCAGCTCTGAGAAGATCAGCAGATAATAAGTAAAAAGTAATCAAAGTTGAAGTTACCAGTTCTGGAGCTGTGTTAATGATGCTGTTGTGGTCAGCGTGTTTGCTAACCCGGAGCAGGCACCGGCTGTTCCCCGCAGGCAGCCGGGCAGAGTTACTGAGGGTTTGTCTGCAGGCAGGGCAGGGCTGGTGCCTCAGCATCAGCAGCTGGACTGCATCACTCTCTGCTTAAGCCAAATAACTGATCAGATCAACATATCTGCAACTCGTCTTTTGCTGATTGATTGCTCCTATGCTGCCTCTTCCCACAGCTTCCTAGCATTAACCGGAGGTCTGTATGTGGATGTGCTGGGGTGGTCATGAAGTGTCTTACTTTAAAACTTCAGAACTGCTTCATCACAGTAGGACACAGGTCCCTTCTCAGGGCTGGGCAGTAGATGTTACGATTTATGCAGCATGGCACAGAATAGTCTGTGCCTGGAAGTAGGAAGAAGCTTTAAAAGTGAGATTTCAGTTCTTGCTGCAAAGTACGCGTGATCTCTGGCCTGGCTTTTTATGAAGTTTCATGGGGTTTCTTGTTCTGTTATGAGCTTGTCACATTTTGGTTTCCTTTTAGAATAGTGTGTGCGCAGCTTCAGGCAAGTAAGACAAGTATATTTTTCTCAAATGAATTACTTTTCTCAAATTTTAATTGTTGGCATTTTTAGTGTCACTATATTAAAAGTTAAAATACATTTGACTTCCTAAGTTTATCAATTAAGGGAGTAGTTCTGGTGTCTAGAAAGTGTGAAGTGTGTAAGGACACGGTTCCACGCAGTATTTCAGAGTCTGTTTAAATCTTGCTCAACTTAACTTTTTTTTCATGACTCTGTTGGTGTGAAGTACACGTCTGCATTGCAATTGTCTAGTGTCTGGCCATGTAGTATGGGATATTCTTATTTTTAAAACTTTCTTGCTACTTTTAAATTCTAGTGTCTAGTATGAAGTATTTCTAGACTATTACTAAAACAGCTTGCTGTAAGAGCTTTTTTTTTCATTTGTTGTTTTTATTTTTAATGTGGACCATTGCAGAATTTGTGAAGGAGTTGCATAGAGTTGCTGTAATCCATCCCTATCAAAATAATACTTTGTCTTTTTTGATCAAAGACTTCTATGTGACCATGGAAACAAAGGGGTTTTATGTGATTTGTAAATTAATTATAATAATTCAAAATGTAATGGAAGCCAGGCAAAATTGTGTATTACTTTCAGCATCATTCTGGCTAAAAGGTTTGGGTAAAGCAGTTCAATAACGTGGCTGTAATCAGCATTTGGGCTGCTAGCACCCACGCTAACTCATTTAGAGGTGGCTTACCCTTCCACATGCCTCTTGCTGACAGCACTGCTGTGCATACACATCAGGCATTAACTGCCATCATACTTTTAGGATGCGTTAAAGAAATAGGAAATGTCTTTAACCCGAGATAAAGCATTTGTACTGTTTTGTGCTTTTAAGGATCCTGTGAGAACATACTTTCCTTCTTACAAAAGAAAATTCAGGTAGCCTATTTCCATGCCACACAAATATACAATAGTTACAAAAAAACCCCAGAGTCAATATATTTATTTAAAATAAGTTTGACAAAAGGAAGAGTGGAGAGTGGAAGTTTGGCTTATCTACCTGGCTGTTCTGGGAAAACAGAGTTCAAAGGTCAGTCACTTGTAGAAAAAAATGTGTACTTCTGCATTCACACCGCTGAAAGGCCGTGGGCCGTCTCCTGGGTTTCCCAGCTGAGAAGAGTCAGTAAGGCTTCTGCTAGAGCACTCGTCCCTCTGCTTAGCTGCAGCAGAGGGTGGTGTCAGCTGCTGCTGCTGAAAGGGAAGTCCTTGGAGATCGGCTCATCACAAGAGCTACCACAGAAGTTAGCATGTGGTGTTTTGTTTGCTTGCTTTTAATTTTATACAACTTCATCCTAATAGAAGAAACGTTCCTCTTCAGATCTAATGAGTTTCTTTAAATCAATACAAACCATCAGTAAAAAGTACATACAGTCTCACAAAAAAGATACTTAAATTCGTTATATCAGTTAAGCAATGCTTGAGTCTGAGTAAGTTGCGCTTTGTTATACATAATAAACTAAGTGAAGGCTAGGGTGCAGGACAGGAAAAATGTCAGTGTAGTAGCTCTCCCAGCAGTGTGCAGCCTTCATTCCCTATTACAGCGGTAGTGTTTTGATGTTGTCTTTTATTGGCACGTGGTGCTGAGGCTTAGAAAAAGGCGTGTGACTGCTTGAACTCCCCAGTGCCTTTGGGAACTCAGGAGAGAGTTCCCATCAGAGCATCCTAAAGAGGACAGAAAACATCTCTTAAATCATAGGCTTACCTGTATCCACAAGAGCAGAACACAGTACCCAGGCATCAGGTCTGTCATTATAGACGGTGCTTGGGATGATGGGGGGGGGGGGGGGGAAGGCACCCCGATGTGCATTAGGTGTCAGGGGCTATTCCGCTCGTGATTTTGGTGCTTTTTTGTCTTTGATCGATGTACCCAAGAGCAGACGTTTAAAAGAAATTTCAACAGAAATGGTGGGCTATGATATTTATTTATTTATTTATTTAGGTAAGGCTTGGGGTTGTGGGAATGTTCTTCTCCTGATGCCTGCACATGGATCCCATTAACGCTAATGTGTGCTAGTGTCGAGGCATTGCAAAGGAGAATCTATCCCCTAATGTGCATGCAGAGAGGAGTGATTAGTGTGATGGATCATAACAGTGTTTCTTTTGGCTTTGTAACCCCTGGAATAGACAGGTTGAGTCACAGCTGTTTAGTAGACGAAATGCTCACTTTAGTAGTTTCTAAATTTACTGCATTTCTAGGAGCACAAGAGAAAGATAATCTAAAGAAAAAAGAGCAAGAGAGAGTGAATAGAGTTCTCTAGATACTACATTGTCTTCTAAGCAATTACAGTTTTCCACTTTAAGAAATTCAGACATAAAAATGTTAAAACAGAAATTTTAATTTGCTGAGCCTCTTTCTTAATTTAGTCCTGTGAGTAAAGTGTAACAATCTGAGAAGGTGCAATTTTTTAAGAAACATAGAAGGAAAAAATTTAAAATATCAGTTGTGAATATCAGAAGCTATACTGAAATGGAAAAAAGTAATTAGTGAAGATGCAAGCATAAATAATCAGAAAAATAAACTGACGTATGCAATTTGTGCAACATTTTCCTCCATCAAAGTTTTAATTTAATTCTATTCTTCTAAGGGCCAGAGAGACCTCAAGGAGAACTGTTATCAACAGTTGGTTTTTTGGTTTATATTTAATGGGGGGAAAAAGCCCAGGTATTGCTTAACAGAGCTTCTTTCAGGATGTTGCTTTAAGTATTTTGTGAGTTTACAATAGAAAAGGTTGTTTAACACTGTTTTGGGCTATGTTGCTCTTTACTCAAGACATTTTTATTACACTGTGCTTGTGAGAAATGATACTTATTAGAGGATTTTTGTCTATAGTAACTCAGAGCACAGTTTGTAGTCACGCCTATTGTGAACTGTTTTGCATAATGATCGCAAAAGCGGTACAGGTTTGTATCTCGGAGTTGTTGTTACTACAGCGTTACAAGTTTTCTTCTTGCATTCCCTCTATGTGCAGCAACTGAACCACCCCAATATAATTAAGTATTTGGATTCTTTTATTGAAGACAATGAACTTAACATTGTCCTGGAACTGGCCGATGCTGGTGATCTCTCTCAGATGATTAAGGTAAGGATGTGTCAGTTCTAGAGGTGCTACAGACTTTCAGGATTAGGCAGAGAGATGAGGCGGTGGGGGTAAGCACGTCTGTGCTAGGAGCACTTTTATTCTTTTCTGGAGTTTTGCACAGTCACAGGGTGCTTCCAGAGCCTAAACCGAAGTGTCTGGTGGCGTTTAAAATACGCCAGGCTATGCTGCTTGCTTCTTGTCGCTGCTTCGGGAGGGAGCAAGCCTCTGTAGGATTTGGTGGGACGTATGTGTTATTTGCAATAACAACGTTATGTGATTTATCCAGTCTGTGATTGATGGAGACATTTAATTATTGTTAGATCCACTATTTGCATAGCCTGTCTGCCACTCTGAAGACATTCAGGAAAGTGTATTGACTTTCTTTGCAATGGGAATTTAGGTTTGAGAAAATGTTTCAAGTACTTGTTCTTCTTTTATGTTGCTCTTAGGAATACTTGTATTGCTGCAAACCAGCTTTAGTTAAGCTGTTACCACCTGCTTTTATATTTTCTTTGACATGTTAATCTTTAGACATACATCCCTTGTGAGAACAGATGTGTTATATCGTGTTTGTTAGCACTCTCAACCTTCTCTCCATGTTTTACCTGATTTTTGCCATCATTATTCTGTAATTATCATAAATGAATGTTTGGAAAGTTCTCCTCCTTGTTGTCACAGTTAAAATATCTTATTAACAGATTTGTTTTCTTTTGCCAGCAGAGCTATGAGGCACTAGGCCAAAGGCTGTCAAACAAGTTATCCATTTAATCCATAGTCAACGGCTAAATTTACAGTATCCGTGAAAATCCACTCCATCTCACAGGAGAGTCCCTCTGGGCGAGCGAGCTGGGAGCAGGCATTTGGTAGGGCTGTTCCTGGGGAGAGCCCCAAAGTTCCAGATGCAGCCTCTCTCTGCAACCGCTCAGTAGCAGGAGCGATGGTTGGATCTGCCCCGAGCCCGAGGGATGAGCTGGTGGTGACCAAAGCCACACGCGCGGGCTGGTGCCACCGCCTCGAGTGCGCGGTGACGCGCGCCGGTGACAGCGGCCGCGGGTGTCAGGGTCTTGGTTGTGCTCACTGAGGGCTGTGGAGACAGAGCTTGTCCTTCTGCCTGGGCAGAGCTCTTGTGTATTTTTATCTTTCACTGTTTTCTTGTGGCTTCTTGTATGTTTTACCCTTTTCCCAACAGATCCTGGGAAGCTTGCAGTTTACCTCGGACTTTTTGTAGTTGCAATTAAAGATGGGGGAAAAAAGTGAGGGTTGTGAGAGGAGGAGTTAGGGCTGTGATTATCCTAGGGTGTGCAAGTGTTTTGCTTGATTTTTAAATCTTAGCTTATAAAAAGTTTTACCTATGTAATTGTGAGACATCATCATATAAAATGTTTACATTTCTTTATCATTTACAGTTTTCAGTTTAAAATATTCCCTACTGATAAATATGTTCATTTATCTATCAGGGTTGGTTATTTAATTTTTTTAAATTACTTTTTATGTCATTATAAATGGGAGTTACATTTTTCCGAAACATAATTTATAGATTCTTAGGTTGATATCTTGAACAGCACTGTAACTTGCATTCTTTCTGCCAGCGCTAACCCCGATCTGGTCTGTTTTCCCTTGTGTTTATCACAGGCATGAAGAAGATGCACTGGGTTTTTTTCAAGGTTGTGTAATGATGTTTTTCCATTGGGGCAAATCTTGGAATTCCTTTTTTTTTTTTAAATAGAGAAAAAAAAAACCAAAACCAAGAGGGAACAAAAGTCTCCTCCTAAATAGAGCTTTAACTGCAGAAGTGGACTTTGCCTGCCTGCCCGTCTGTCACCGCCTCCTCCTCCCCCCACACCCCAGTCCCTTGGGAATTGAAGCTTATGTGAGGATTTTCAGTTTCGCGAGGCAGTAGGAACAGTAGTAACGACCCTCTGAAGGTGCGAGAGTGATAAAAACAGGGACTGTCTTTGTCATGCCCCTGGTGCCTACATTATTTATGAGGTATTGTAAAGCTGATGTAAGAGAGTGCTGCAGCATAACCCACTGGAGAGTTGGGACTTTCTTGTAAATGTCAGGCGAATCTTATTGGACATGACATTTAGAAAATTATCATTTGTGGTCTTGCATCTCCACTCTTAAATACTTCAATGAGAGTTAAATAATTTTATTGTGTATATAACACTTTATCCCTCACCCTCTGTAATTCCTCTGTGCTCTCTATCAAGTTTTGTGTTGAAACTGTTGCAGTCTGTCAGATTTGCTGCTTGGGGAATTGCACAGTCATGCCCCTTCACAGCTGATCTGCAAAAGAAAATTTGCCATTGCTTGAGTCAAACACGAACCAGTAACAGCATTTCACGTAAAATATAAAACGTGACAACGGACATCAGATGTCTGTACTAAGAGGAAAAAGCACAAGATGCAGAAAGGGGCAACAACCAATTCCCTTCCTTTATTCTTGCTCTTGCATGCTGCTGATGGAAATTCTCAGGGGTACGATGCAAAAGAAGTGCAGTTGTAGTGTGCTAGAAGGGTGTACAGCATTTCAGAGATAGTCGTTATCCGATGACACCTTGTATATCAAAGGATGAGGATAAATCCTAAACCTCTGGAAGCTTATTATAAGTGTATTTTGTTAATGCTGTGGTTGAGGAACTGGCTCAGTATCTAGCACAGGAAGAAGCAATGAGAAGTCAGGGACCAATAATCTGAAGTAGTGCAATTTTGGGATGCCTTGGAGGAGGCGGTCACGCTTTGCATGTGATGTGCACGGCTGTGTGCATTTCTAAAATGGAAAAAGAGTAGTTGAAGATATATAATGTTTAGCCTTCACTGAAGTGTGCAGCTGTTATCCCTGTAATAAGCTGCTCGGGAAGAAGATGACAGTATTCCAGAGAGCCATCACCATGCTGCACTCCTTTGTATTGTGCCATTATGATTATTTTATTTGAGAGCTCTTAGCGCCCAGAGGTCCATGGAATCCGGACTCAGCTATGCTTGGCGCTGCATAAACGCACACACAAAACGGTATTTTTCCAGATCGGTGTGTCTCTTGATGAGTAGTGTCTTTCTGTCTTACTGGAGATAGTTCAGTTAATTTAGTATTCCTATTATGCATGAAATACAATATATTATTCTACCTGATCACAGAAGAAACATGGATACTTTATTGATGCTCTTGCTATCTTTTAAAAAAGAGAAACGGATTACCTTATTGTTGTTAATAGACTGTACAATAATGAATGGTTGCAAGAATTTTTTTTATGATCTTTGTTACTTAAGGCAAAATATTTGAGACATTTGTTGTTTTGAGGCATTAAATATGTTTTGTGAGGTAATTAAGGAGATTAATGCTAATTATAATTGGTGTCCATTCAAAAATGTCAAACCAATTTAAGCATGTTTTTCATAATAGTTGTTAATTAGTGAACTGCGTTGAAGTTTAAATACAGAGAGGAGGAGTTAAAAGCTGATCAGAACAAAAGTCATGCTGCCACAGATCTAGAAGACATAAGCAACCTGCAACTGACCAACACAAGTCCAGGAACGAGTCAAATATGTTGCTTTTTTACTGATCTTTTATTTATTTCCTCCCACAGTATTTTAAAAAGCAGAAACGGTTAATCCCGGAAAGGACGGTGTGGAAATATTTTGTGCAGTTATGCAGTGCAGTTGAACACATGCACTCCCGCAGGGTGATGCACAGAGGTAACATTAATTCAGTCTCTTTTCACTGAATAATAATATAATGTTCCAATTAGTAAGCGCCTACATTCAAAAACAATTATGCTGATGTTCAGCCAATGCATGTTTAGAGAGGCTGGAGCTTGCAAGATGGATTTCTCCTTCTGTTTCTTTGCTTCATTGTTAAAGGATTCAGTCCGAAGTGAGTGTGGTATTAGGAAGATGAGCTGCTTTGTATTCCAGGCACTGATATTAAGTAGAAGTGTCAAACTTACCATTAGAAGAGTGTCAGAAGTAAAATGCTGAGACTACTGGATACAGGGAATTCGAAGAAATAGTCTTCATTATATTAGCTGTGACCTTAGAGAGTTTAGAAGAGTTTTTTTTCTGTCCTGCAAGCTTTTCTGAAATATTAATACAAATGTCCCACACTCTCATAACCTGTTCTCTATTTTCATTAATTATTTTTGAATCTCTTGTCTTAGAACTTTCTGTAACTTTGGATAGAGCTCAAAGATTACATTGCTGCTTTCAGCGTAAATGAAATGCTTTGTGAAGGACTTGACTCAGGAAATGCAAATATCCCAAAAGGCACCAATACCAGTCTCTGCTGCTTGTTATTTCCTTTCTCCTTTGAAGTTATGAGTTCTTCATGATCTTTTTCAGCAATCTGATACTGATTTTGCTCTTTTTTGCATCCCTTGATGCAGTTTACCAGTTGTACCTGAATTAGGTGTGTAATTAGTGGCTGAAATTTGGAGCCTTGCACATTTAGTCTGCTTTAACGTGAGGAAAGAGCCTCACTAACTCAATCCTGACAGGACTGCTTGGGAAGCTGGGGTTCTAGTGATTTTTACACTCCATGAACAAACTGGGCTGTACAGAGCCCAGAATTTGTGTATATGTGGGACAACAATTAGCCTTTAGTGTGAGGAGTACTGGTGGGCAGTACAGTTTCCTGTAGAAAACGATCATTTTCAAAGAGAAGCAGACTTATTTCTTTGATTTCCATCAGTTAAAGAGGTTGCCTCTATTCTGTTGTGCTGTTTCCTACATTTTTGCCTCATTGGTAGTTCTTGTGTGCTGGGAAGTATACTTTAATTTTTGTGTATGTGTGGAGCTTGAAGTCTTGGAAGATTCAGCCTGTCAAAGCTATAAAGACACACGGTTCTGCTCAAGCCTCTTTTGTACAGAGAGTGCTCCAGGCTATATTTCTATTGCAGTATTAGAACCAAGTAACCTTTTGTGGCTTTGACCTTTTACCTTTTTCTTCTTGCAGACATAAAACCAGCCAACGTGTTTATAACAGCCACAGGGGTGGTGAAGCTGGGAGATCTTGGATTAGGCCGTTTTTTTAGTTCTAAAACCACAGCAGCACATTCCTTAGGTAAGATGGTACTTGTAGATGTTAAGCGAGCGCTGCGATACTGTTGTCAGCTGTGATGTTCAAAAGAAGTGGTATCGGTCCTCTTGCTATGACAGAAGCTTGATTCAGTGGATGCATATACTGTATTTTCTGTGATATGAATTTTAAATACTGTTTATATGAAATTAATTGGAATTTTTTATTTTAAAACTCCACTTGATTCCCCCCCGCCCCCCGAAGGTCTGGCCTGGTAAGTTCATGATTTATAGCAAGTGTAACAAATGTAGCTTTTCCACTCTAAATAGCATGTTTGCCTGCACTCTGCTTACTGGAATTAAATGTTACACCACCACCGTTTTTAGCAGATGCTGGCCAGCTGTCTTGCTCTGAACAGGGATTGTGACTGTCATCTGAGGTGAGGGAAGTGTTCAGAGCCCTCACGCTTCATCTGTTCCAAAAAGGGACTTCACTTGAAACTCAGCTTAGGCTTTAAAGATCCAAGTTTTCTTATCATCTTCCACATATCTCGGGGTTGTTTTCCTCCTCTTTTGTCAGTGCAGCTAATCGTTCTCGCCAAAGCGTAGTACCTTCCACTTCAACAGTGAACTGCTTTTCTGAGCAATTTTGCATCCATTAAGTAGTTTCATTTAGACAGATTTAACAGTTTACTTATAAGTAAAGTTATATGAGCCTTTGATAAAAGCGTTATAGTTGTAAATACATCTGTTGCTTCTGGTTCTCTCCCTCTGAAGCCTCTTGCCTTATCATGGAAAAAAATTTTCATAATTTGTCATGATGTTTTGTGGACTAGTCATAATGGTGATGATTCATTTCTTGTTCTTTTTTTCTATATTTTGCAAGTAGCATGGTTGTACCTCCACCATTTTTCTGGGAATTGAAATTAAGTTGACTGATTTAGAGCATCTGGGTTCCTCTCTCCCTCATTTTTACTGTTAGCGTTAATTACAATGCTGCAGAAAAGTATACAGTATATACAGTTCATTCTTTAAGTCCTGCAGTAAAAAATATTTCATAATTGTGTCTGAAACCTCTAGAGAGGTGGCTGATCTTCCATTTTTATTAATGGGTCTCAATTTTTTTGAGTCACAAAGGTACTTCTGTGTTACGGCAATGAAGGAACTTTTGGCTTTTGGTGCAGTATTTAAACTTTCACATTTAGTGCTCACAGTTGATATTGGAACACTTGGAATACTTACCAACAACACTGAAGCTCCTCAGTGCACAAAAAAGGAAGATACTTGCCTTATTTTGTGTGTGCTTAAAAAAAAAAAAAGGCATTTCTACAGTTTACTTTCATAAAATACTTTCATAAAACTTCTTTTGCATCAAAAGGATTTATACGCGCTATACGTAATCTATTAAAATAAATCCTCTTCACAGAAAGTTACAGTCACATCATCTGAACAGGCAAAAATATGATCATGTCTAATTATATGATCTTATCTAGTTTGACTGCTGCACTTTTTATATTAATAAGAATAAATTGGGGCTTGGAAACTGGCTGCACATGTAAGCCAAGCTTGTGACCTTTACCAGGGTTGCCCTCTCTTAATTGAGACACCTTGTGTAGGAAGAGTTAAGCCTCTTCTGCATGCACCTTGCCCTTCCTCAAATCAACAGCATCCTGGAAACAGGTGAATAAGGTACACTGAGGGAGCAGCAGTGAGTGATACTGGAGACAGTGTGTTGTGTTGTGGGAGGGATGGACATACCACCATTTCTAGTGGTTCTTGTTTCCAAGTAAAAAGAACATTTTAACAATCAAAAAATATACAGACTTGAAGTGCCTTTTTTTTTGTTTGTTTGTAATTTGCCAGACATACAGGTTTTGTAGCAGCAGGAGACATACTGATCTTGGTTTTGATTTAATTAAGAAATTTGTTTAAGTAGCTATGAGTGAACACCCTGCAAACCAGAGTGTGGTACCCGCACGGACGCAGGCTGTGATGCCGGGCACTTTGCGTAGCTGCGTTGCCCTGGCAACCGCCCTGAACCATCATTTCTCTGGCTGCTGACCCATGAATTGAACGTGTGGCTTATGCAAATATATTCATCTAATTTTTTTTCTTTCGTTGTATTTGCTAGCATCAGACTGGCATAAAAGGGCATTAGGCAGTACCACGACCCGTGTGACAGGTGTACCGCCGGGCTGCGGCAGCACGGCCGCCGCCGCGTCAGGAATGGGAGCTGTAATTAGAGCAAGGAACAGAATGAACGTCAGATGAATTACCAGGCAGCAGATCATATTTGTCAGGAAGGATTGCATACATAAAAATTAAGTGACAGTACATGCTGGGGTAATGAAAGAAAAATGAAAGATTTGCCCATACACAGCTCGTGAGATGCAGGCGAGCGCCTTGCTCGGAGCAACGGCAGGATGCCTGACCAGCGACACGGCCGGTCGGGAGCATCGCCAGGGCAGCGGGCGACCGTGAAGCAGGGAAAGCCCCAGCCCCTGGAAGACCTGTACAGGCAGACTTGTGAGAGGGGAAACGTGGATACCTCCTGTCTCACTAAGTAACAAAGCTGTGTTGGGAAAGGCGGCAGTATTATGGGAAGGGTGATAAACACCAGAAAACAGCTCGGGGCTGGAGAGTGTGGGTCAGTTCACCAGGTGGCACCTCTTCTGCTGCTTTCCCTTTTCCCTGTATGACTTGTGAGAGAAGACAGGAGATACTTTTCCATAGGGGAGAGCTCTTCATGTGCAAGCTTTACCAGAAAACTCCCATATTTTAAAGGTAATGAATGTAGCTAAGGCAAATTTTACTATTTCTTGTTACAACATGGTGGGTTACCCTCCTTTGTTCCCTAATTTAAGCTCCCCTGTAGCAGGAACTCCAGGGTTTAGTTTAATGGAGATGGACTTACATGTCACAGAAACTTCATTTTATTGGGGGGTGTAGGAGGGAATAGGAGAGCAATTGAGGGTGAAGTGAGGAGGAATGCTTCTCCCTCCCGATTGTTTTTTTTTCCCCTTCAGTCCTGCTTACTGTTTTCTTGAAAAACTTGTACAGCCTGTTCTTTTGCAGTTTATAATGCGAGCATTTTATTACATTCATAGTCTTTTTAATTTTTTCTTTCTTTGATTTGTATGGTTATTTTTTTTTTTTCCCCAGAGGAGCCATATGATACCTGTTTGACAGGCTGTTTCACTACAGAAAATGACTGTACTTAGCCCAGGGCTTTGCACCCAGTAATGATGAAATGACATCTGGATGCTGGAGTTTGGGTGTGTGACACCATGCAGTTTGGGTTTTCTTTTATAGTACTGGGGTGTGTTGTGCTTCCAGGTGTTGTCTCTTTCATTCAAGATTTAATAGGGCTAGTATTATTTTTTTTTGTCTGTTTATGTTTGACTATGTCCATTATTTATTTTGTTGATCTCTGTGGTGGGCGTCCAGAGGAATATCTTGTCAGTTAAGGCTACTCTAATATGCTTGTTAGAAAGTTTAAGTCATTAACTTTGCTGTAAAACCTAACTAGTTGTAAGACAAAAACTATAAATAGCGGAACCTATATTAAAACTGCATAATCTTTGGAAAACTGAACAGTAAGCTGGTAGGTTTTGCTTTACTAGGACCTGTAATAAATATAGAGAATTTCCATTAATATTAAAATGGATAACTTTATTGTGAAGCAGTATAATGCCCATTTTTAGCTAAATAAACTTGGCATTATCCAAAGCTTCTGATTGGCTTTACGTTTTGAAGAAAAAAAGAAAAAAAAAAACAACCACAAACAGCACCCCAACCCAGCCCCCCCAAACACCCTCAGTTTTACTCAGAATAGTCTTGGTTTTGAGGAGATGATTTATTATTTATTCTTGGACAAGAATAAACTTGGAGCAGTTTTTCCTTTCAGGGGATGCATGTAAGTCAAAGCTTCTCAGTTTAGAACATGCAAATAGCCATGTATTGGAGTACGTGGGGTGTTACACGTTCCTTCTGGTTTATTGTTGGATATGAGGGCAAACAGGGAGTAACTGCAGTCATGAGAAGAGCTCTGTTATAAATGAACTATTTGTCTTTTTTTTTCTTTTTTCTTTTGCTTGCCAAGCCAGTTTGCTATCTGAAACAAAATCACAGTACTTTAAGGGGCTAGTAAGTAGTACTTGTTAAGATAAAATGGACACAAGAAATCTGCTTAAAATGTCAATAGCCAATATTCTGTGTGTTTTGAGAAATTTTGGCCTTCTGGTCTGTGCCTGTAATGCAGTATTTGTGGAAGAAAAGATTGCTGCAGAGTTACTGCAGGGATATTCTACTACCTACATGTAAAACAAACAAAAAAACCCACAACACCAAAACAAATAAACACCAAACCAAAAAACTATAAGGACTTCGGTAGGGTTGTGTACATAATTAAATGCTAATAAGAAAAAAAGAGAGAACTTAGAGCAACGGGTCTTGTAAAACCTGTCGCAATATTATGCACAAAATATTTATTCTCATTTGTATGAATAAGTAGATTTCTTTTTTTCTTTTTTTTTTTTCCCCTTGTTCCCCCCCCACCTTGAAACAACTAGTGGGGGTGCCTCACACTGAGATTTGAAGGAATTTGAAGTATATTTTAGCGCCTTTGACCACTATTTCACTTTAACTAATTCCCAAAAGTTGAGCTAATTCCTAAATTCTGGGAAAAGACATCAGCCTTCTTGTTGGAAATATACCCCAAATAGTGCAAACTGTTTAGAAACAAATACTTATGAACTAGACTCCTTTTAAATAATGCTGTAAACTTTTCTTGGTAACCTACAAGTGTGTCTGGAGAGATGAGACAAGTGAGAGTTGTGGACTTTCATTTTCAAGTAGAACTGCTTCCTTGCTGTGTTTACAGCACTAGATAGTATAAAAACATACGAAGATATTTTTCTGAACTGTATGTATATTCGTGGAATATGTAATAGCATGTCTTGCATGTTTAAGCTAATAGTTCTGGAAATTATTGTTTTAAAAACTGGGTGGTTTTTTTGTTAGTCGCTGGTGGCATCTCAGGTTTTTGAGCATGGTTCTTTGCTTTTTTCGTTTGTAATGAGCATGTTTCAAAAGTCACAAGTATTTCAAAACATTGCAAAGTTTGTTTTGACAGGAGTGGAACACCTCTAAAGGAATGCTTTAGTCAGTATTACCCCTTTGAGGCCCACGTTGCGCTCTGATATCTCTTGGTTTGAAACTGGAAATACTCAGTAAAGATACAATAAAGGTCAGAATTTGTTAGGTTCTTTCATATTCAGAACTCTGTTCCCTGCTGTGAGAAAGAAAAGTGATAGATTCAGAAACACTGTTCAGCTCACTATGAAAGATTAGCTGGAAGCTGCTGGTGAAGGCAGAACAGTAAAAGCTTTCCTTATCAATTGTTCTTGTACTTTGCGGCCAAATATGGTTATGGAGTTTGATTAATTTCAAGAGATGCTTATTTTTTTATAGCATTTAAAAACCCCAAACATACAGAGCCTATTAAAGTATTTGGAAATATTCTGCACTGATTTCAGTCCAATGACAATCTGCCTAAAGGTGTGGGAGAACCACTGCTGCAAGAGACTCGTCTGTGGTAAATTAAATTTAGTGAATGAGACTCTGATAGAGCCTCCTAGAAGTATGAATCAGATTTTCTCTTGTTTCTGCCTGTGTGAGCAGGTAAGGATGAATTTCACAGGAAGCATTGATCCCTGGCTGAACTGTATTTGCAGAGGGAGAAGTTCTGTATAGAAGATAACGATACTGTGTGTGACTGTACTGATAACCTGGCCACTGTCACTTCCACAACAACAGAACTCTGATTCAAGCTGAAAAACGTTTTCAAAACGGTTGAGCGTGATCTTCTTCCCTATGTAGTGAAAGACTTGCTGAGTTCAGCAGTAACATAGCTCTTCTCCTGGGTGTTTCTGTGGCAGATGTGAGAATTCAGCTCAGAGTACCTGTGCACACTGGTTGCTGTAGTTACACAGGTAGGGTTTTTAATTCAGACTATATACAAGAGGAAGGGAATTTGAGTTTTGTTTCTGGAATAACTTTGCTGCCTTTCCCTGTATGTTTTCCCAGTGAACCAAGAGACTCTGCTCCTAATCTTACTCGGAATAATTATTATTTCCCTAACTTGGGTGTTGCAGGTAGCCCAGAGCCGTTCTGGTCCATGTGGGTGTTGTAACTGTGCACACAGTGCTGGGGAGAGTAGGAAGAAATGTTCTGATGTCGCTGAAGTAGGCTCACACTGAAGTGAAGTGTTTCAACTTTCAGGAACGGAATGGGAAGATGCTTACCTAGTCATAATCTTCTCTACAGATTTGTGACCTTTATAACTTTAAAGGCATTACTCTACCACCTGGTGATTAATATTGAATCTGAACAGTATTTTGTATTTTCAGCAGGGCAAATGCCAAAGAAAGTTTCTGATTAATAATCTCCAATTAGACTATTCTTGTCAAATTGACTAATGTAATGCAATGGTGAACCCTGACTGATTGCACTGGAAGCCTTGTGCGGTTTTCTAGAAGATGCTCATTACAGGAGATTCCCACGTAATGTTGGACAGGCCGTAAAGAGAATTGGGCTTGTCAGTCTTTTATCATGACAGTTATTTAAAAATTAATGCATCGGTTTTGAAACGCAGAGACCTGCTTGTTTGTACATTTGCTGACAACACTACAGTAATGATAGGTAAATGTGCAAGGTAGACTTCATAAAATCAGCTCAGGCATGGACTGCTCCACAGACCTATTAATATAATGGAACAGACTAATGCACAGAAAATCAAATATGGACTATAACGCACTCATCCGTATTATAAACCCTGTCATTCTGCTTTGATCGAAGGTTGTTTTAAGGCATTATCTGAAATGACAGTTTTAGCCTACCAAGCAGACCCCTGCTAACGTGGAAGGCAAGGCCATAACTTTAGAGCCCACACATTATTATTTGCTCTGAGCTTGTCATGCAGTGACCCAGAATAACTGCTTGCAAGAACGGCTGTGGCTGGAGGCCGCCCCTGGCACCAGCACTCTGAAGCACGAAGACTTCGGGGAGCAAGAGTGGGAATGATCTTTGTGTTCCCTCCTGCCAGCTGTGTGCTGCTGTCCGCCCATGCTCAGCGCCGGTACTCGCTGTCAGTGAAGGACTAGCATGTCTTCTGTTTCAGTGGCTCTGTTAGCTCTCCTGGCAGATTTGAGAAAAGCAGAAGCACCAAGAAGTTGAAGGTGGGGAAGTGTCTTACACACTGCTGCTCAGTGGGGACTTCCAGAACTGTCTGCAAGAACTTCACGTAATGAATCACTGATTCTTCTGCAGCTGCATATTTTTAAGCAGGAAAATGAATCAGTGTTATTCCAACTAAGTCAGTTCTTGTACAGAAATCTGGCAAATGTGTGGAAATTACTTGGAGAGCTGTGCTGTCCATTCTGTGCATCTTGCGTGCACATGGGAGAGATCCACGGAGAGCCCTGTTGGGTTCTTTGAATGAGTCCTGTCTGCTCTTGGTGTTCTGTGAACTTACTGTGTGCAGTCTGTTAAAAATTATTAACTATTAACGGAACTCTGGTCTCATCCATAGAGGCCTTTCACTGGCCATTAAAACCAGCCAGATCTGGGACAGTGTCAGTTTGACATGTGCCTAGCTGGATATGATACTACTGAGCATGGAAATATAATAATCTCCATGTATTATTTTTCCTGTGTTGTAGTTTGTATAGAATTTGCAAAAATGTAGTTTCTTATGAGGGTGCTCTTCACATTGAAAGTGCAGTGACTTCTTATTTGAATGACGTGCAAGCACAAGCTGAGTTTATCATATAGGGCAGCTGATTACTGAAAGTCCTGGGGGATCAAATAAATGAGCCAGTCGGGGCAGTGGTCTCCTTTCTTGGTTACTCGTTGTATTTTGGTAAGCAGAGTTTTATGTATGTATTCAAGTAACATGTTTCACACTGATGCTGTAGGATTAATTTCACATTATATGCTACATTTCTGAATAGCTCTGAGTAAAAAATTTTGAGGTTCAGTAGACCCAAGGTTTGGGCATATAAATGCGTGGCAAAAATACAGAATAAAGATTGAAGGGTGTTGGTTTGGGAGGGTGGAGGGTTGGTTGGTTTTGTTTCGAGGTAAGCTACTTAATTTTCACCTCAGAGAAAGAAAATGCCTTGAGTATTTAAGGTGGAGTAGCTGGTGCAACATGATTCCAGTTTATGCCACAGAAAACTTAGGGCTTCAGAACGCTGATACGGCAGCCGGGAGGATCTGGTGCATATGGCATCCATGCTTACAGCAAGACCTACAAAAGGAGGGATGTTGGGGATGCTTTGGAGTAAATTGGATAACTGCATGCTAGCATTAACAGTACTAATTTTGAATCAGTGCTCTTCGTTTTGACTAAATCAGCTAAGAGAAGATTTTTGTATTTCTCTGATTTCCAGCTTCTGTTATGGTGCTGATGTACTGAGAACGAGTGTTGTCTGACTCCCATGTCTAACTGTTCCGGTGGCTTTTGTTTTATATACCTGTTGTGAATTCTTTGGGTCTGTAAAGATCTTGTTGTTCTGTGAGGACAGGCCTTGGACAGTGCCTGTATTGAAGGGATCCTGGCCTGTGTTTAGTTTTCTGGATGACAGAGGAATGCAGTTAAGATTTGGACTCGCATATGTATATACTTAGCAGTGCGGTGTGGTCTAAGCCAGAGGGACCCCAAAGTGATTTTGCTCAGGTATCGCACTGATGGCAGCAGCTTTGTGCTGGGTCATCTGTGCGCTTGGTGGGGGTTGATTTTTGCCTTTTGGGAAGCTGTTGCTTTCTGCCGCAGAGCTCACTTGTTTCCTGCAGTGTGTAAACCCTTCCTTAGGAACATTGGAGGAAGGTGGTGGCTGTTCTTCCCCCTCCACCTCTAACACCATCCTTCATCTGCTTATTAGTCTTCCAACTGTCTGCAGTCAACATTTCAAATGGAGAAACCGTAAACTGAATGTTACAGGCAAATTAAACATTTGTCATCTTGTGAGGAAAGGTCTTTAATTAGGAGAAGGATACACTGCAATGCCAAAAGCGCAAAAAAAAAAAAAAAAAAAAAATTGACAGGGGACGGGGAAGCAGGAGAAGAGAGAGCATATACAGTCCTTGGATGTTTTAATAAATGATGTATCTGAGGATTATTTGATGTAGTTGAGACTGCCAGGATGTCTGGTATTTTCAGTACCACAACTGAAACTTACTTAGGATTTAAAAAAGAACCTTTTTGAGGTAAGGAATTTATTAATAATTTCCTGTAACTTCTGTCCCAAATGCTGGAGTAAATTTCTTTTGATAAAATACAGACTTCAGGGAGTACATAGGAGTCCCACAGCTTCTGATGTGACTGCAAGTTGGAGCAGTGTTTTAAAGTTCGGAATGATTACCTTGGTTCTTTCAGAAGGTTTTTGAATACCTGTCTGGTGCTGGGCTTGTTACTTCATTTACTGCAGCACAGAAATGGGTCTCCTGAACTCTGAAAAAGGGTACCCCGTCATATCTGGAGCCGCTCTGTCATGCTTCTAGTGCAGTGTGTGTCAGGTGAACGTTCAATTGATGTGCTGTCACAGGAATCTTGTTTTAGCAGAGCACATTCATGACATCTGTAACTTGCGGTTTCAGTGCTGTTAAGTGAGCCAAAGGAGGATCATCCTTTACGACTGCTCTGCCCACCTGAGACACTCTGAAGGTACTTGGAAGACTGGAAGGGGAATAAACCGTTCCTCAAATTTCAAAAATACAGAAGATATTTTCAGTAATATTCACCAATCCTCTAGCTCTATATGTGATGATATATTGGGTTCTATGCCTTTGAAACTGTGATTGGTTTCCAAATTTTTGTGCCAATCTCTTTCCATTAGCTGTTCATGCTAAACCTAATCCTTTAATGAAGTCAAACTTCTGTATAACAGGTTGCACAGTCACTTTTTAAGATGATAATTGCTCGTTTGTTTGTTTGTTTTTTACAGTGGGAACTCCATACTATATGTCCCCAGAAAGAATACATGAAAACGGCTATAACTTTAAATCTGATATCTGGTCTTTGGGCTGTTTATTGTATGAGGCAAGTATCTTCTAACTTTTTTTTCCCGGGTTTGTCTTAACCACACAATACAGTACAGGAATTGAGTAGGTCAGACTTACTTTAGTTTAATTGTTGAGAAACTTTATGAAAAGTTAACTCTTTTTGTGCTCATCATGTGCTTTTTGAGCATGAACAACAAAGGGATTGTGCCATACAGTACTTGCACAAAGTTAATTTAGTAGGTCACAGGAGATGTTGAGGATACAGACATAAACAAGCCAGCTTCCTGCATTCTTTCTTCCTACTGTGAGCAGAGCTGTTATTAGGGCACCATATTCATAGTTTCTCCCAAAAACTGCATTTGTTTTAAAAATAGCAAGTTTATTTGAATGTAAGCTACTGGTTTGTTAAACTGAATTCTGACCGATTGGAATATTTTAATTTTGGGAGCTTTCAGTAAAGTAAGAGTTTTTATGTAATGTGAAATCAATTTCTCTAACCCTGTTAGACTATAGCTGGATTTTTTTCCAGTTGTACATGTCTTCTAGCTAAATGCACAGATACAAAGCAGGAACACTTTATATGAACTACCCACTTAGTGTGCAACTTTTTCTTAAACTATTACATATATTTTAAAAATAAGTGCTATGATTTTATAACAGTACTTTGAGTTTTGTGATTTCATTTTTAGCAGAGATCAAAGGGTATTGAACAGTCTTGTACTCATTTATAATCCAATCTTAATCTTTTTTCAGATGTATGCATCTTTGAATTCAAGTGAAAGTGCATGTCAACATTTAGAAAGCTTCTATCCCAGCTCAGAGAATTAAAAATCCCTGGGATATTTAGTAATAAGAATATTGCTCACATCCTCTTTGGATAATAAACTATGTGAACTGATGACATTTTGTTACTCGCTACAACTTCTCTTAACCACATGGAATTAGAGAATAAACAGAAGTGTGATTTATTTTGTTAGCGCATCAGATGTGCAAATTACTGTAGTTAAGCACGTACTTCAGCTAGCTGATTAAACAAAACTTTTAGGACAAGACAGTGTAAAAGAAAATTTTCCCATAACATTGGTCTTCCCAGCAGGAGTTCAGAGCTTGTCATTGTTCGGTACTTCTGGGAAGAATACTCATCTAATACAACTAAATGATTGTTCAGCAAGGTAACCCACTGTCGTCGATGTGTTACCAAGCCCTGAGTCATAAAGTTTGATAGGTGTTGATTTGCTGTTGGCAGAGTGTGAAAGTACCATGTGGTGTGCATCTTCAGTGAGAGAGATTGGTGCTGGGAACTCGGTGAAATACATTGATAAAATCGTGCTGAAGGGGCTTAAGCAGTCTTGGGGGCTTGACTCCAACAGCCCCTTGCATCTCACGTGTAAGACAGCAACACAGCTGGCCCAGATACAGTTGTGGACTTGAGTGTGGTCCAATAAATGCTCTTGGGGGGGAAAAAAGCCCACAACTCTCCATTCTTTTTGTACTTCTACCAGTGTCCGTCCAAAGACTGTATCTCCACCATGCTTCAGAGAGCCTGTTGACAACTACTGACTTGACATGGCATAGAGTTTCATTAAGGAAAAAGATTTATCTGGGTGCCTGGCATAAATCCCCCATAAGTTAGCCACTAGATCTACTGGTGGAAATGCTGGAGCCCAATGTAGTTCTGTCACTGTTTGTGTTAAAATTCCATGGGACAGGAGGGAGAGAAAGGGTATAAGACACCCTACTAAGTACTTGATAAAAAATACTTGGAAAATTGTGAGCATGAATTGAGTGGCTTTGTACCTATCCTCAAGTTCTCGTTAGCTCTAGTGAAAGAATTCAAGAGACTTTTAATAACTCCTGAAGCAGTAGCAACATGCCATTTATAAGGATGGTATTACTTGTAATGCTTCTAATGAGGTACTGAAAACTGCAGTGATACAGTATAGCTGTATGTACCTGGGTCTGCTGGTGGCATTTGAAAGGGAATTTGGAGACTCTTCTGTGGGAACAGGGGGAAGGAAGCCTGAGCTCCCAGTAATTCATTATGCTGAATGATTCCAGGTATTCTGCATGTATTGGGCCTGAAGAGGAATTTGCAGTTTAAGACCTTGCAGGGTTGAGGAGTTTGGCCCTGCCATGGTGTGTTGGAATTGCCAAGTCTATCAATAACAGTCAAAGTCACCCAAGTTGGACCCAGCTACTCGTTTGGTGCTGTAGTGTACAGCTTCTCCGTCAGGCTGCTCTGAGTGATTTCTGAGGCTGATCTCTGCTGGAGATGGGATTCCAGATTTATGCAGAGAGAAATATTTAGCGTTGTGCTAAGATATGTTTTTGTTGCAGGCAATATGGTCTCCTTATGGCACAGTAGTCTTGGTACTCCTTGTATTTCAAGAAACTGACTTAATTGCACACTGAACATAATTCTCTGGTAGGAGTAGCGGTACTATAGTAACATGTGAAAGATTTGGCATGTGAAGCGTTTTTAAATTTACTTCCTATGTAGGTAAGCCTTAACTTTGTGAACAGGAGCTGTGAGATCTTGCAAATTCCAAGGAGGACTGGACAGTTACCAATTTTGTGTTCAGTAGATAAACAGCTACTTGACTTTTTAAACTGTCTAGAATTTGGAAAATTAAAAGTCAAATTCATGTGTCTTTGAAGGAGCCGTATTTTATCTTCACTAATTTCTTGTGAGAAGAATGTTTTTCCATTTGGCTTAAAAGTAAGGAAGCGATGCTTGTTTGGTTATGAGTCACTTCTGATATTTCTCCAGATAGATTGGGTAGATAAGCTGCAGTGAGATTTAATGTACAAATGGCCTTCAGAGACACGCGTGTCCACTGGAATCCACTTAGGGAACATTGAGGGATTTGGGATGTGATGCCACATAGCACCACTTAACTTTGACATTGATAATCATACAGTGATTTTTATTAAATCTTATCAATATAGTAGTAACTGTCTTCATCCCTTACTTCCTGTAGGTATCTGTCAGCAAGATAACTTGGAGGGGATACAAATAAGTTGTTAATTCCCAGAATACAGCTACAAGCAATGACTTTAGCAGTTCTGGCAAGACCATCAATTTAAACGCTAACAGTGATTCCTATATATATATATTTTTTAACCAGTCATACTGCATGGTGGTCATTTTAAATGGAGATCTAGCTGTCCTGCAGTAATTGCTCTAATCAAAATGTCAGGAGCAAACCCCAGCATAGCATCACAAACTGTTGTTAGTGAGATATTTGGAGCGCCTGTGGTCACGACCCCCGCAGACCTGACTGTTTTAGTCAGAATGTGTGTACCATCTCTTTCCGTTTTAATGCCTGGTGTTTACCACCCCAACACCCCACAGCGTTTCCTTTTCATTTCTCCTCTTTTGCACATGACCACTTAACTGCACTTAGAAAGAAAAGTGAACGGGAATTGAAAAATTCCTTTCAACCTTACTGGCATTATTGATGTTTGTATTGAAATCTCTGAGACCTTGTTTAACCCTTGATTAAGGGTTCTGTGCCTTCCCTAATACGCCCATTAGTGTTTTTCTTGGAACAATCTTGCATGCTGGGCTCTCCAGTTTTGTTTTAACTGATAGAGAGCAGTTTGCTATCCATCTCTAATTGGAGATTAGAGTCTCTAATCGGAGTCTGTAATTTTTTCCCCACTGATTTGCCTGTTACTGTTACGACAGTAAGGAAGTAACAGCGATACAAATTCACCATTTGCCTTCAAAAACTTCCAAGAGGCCACGAGCAAGGGGCTGTGAGGGCTCTTGGCCGGCCGTTGGGGCCCGTTCACAAGGCTGTCGGGCAACTCTTTAACCTCAGGTCTGTAGGGTTTATGAGGAGTAGCCTGGTGCTACTACTGATAGTAGTGGTGGAACCACAGAGAGGTCAAAGTGTGCCGTGCCCGTTCCCCCACCCGCCGCTTTGTGCAGCCGTTAAAAGGCGTAATTCCTCTTCTCGCTCAGCCTGCAGCAAAGCACAGTAAATGTCACTGGCACTGCAAATATCTCAAACTACGTTATGTGAAGCATTACAGACAGAAAACTGAACAAGCCTGCAATTTTCTGAGATGTTTTTGGGAGCTGTACTCAGTTCATTGTGTCCTTCAGTGTAATTTGGGTACCTTCGTATATTCTGTATTGCCGTTTATAAGCTTCTCTAGATATCTGATAAATACCTCTGGAAGAGCTTCCTGAAAAATATTTCAGTCTGGTGGTATATAAAGAGATAACCTTGGGAGTTTTGGCCAGACTATATCTTATTTCTTCTCATAATGGCCCAGAACTCATTGCAGAAGGTCTCTTACCTCTACATGACTGTCTTGCACAAGGTGACCCCCTGCAGCTGATGCGTGTTTTCACTAATTTCACATAGTAATGATTATGTCCTGCAAATAAGTAAAGAAGAAACATCATAACTTTAGATTATTTAAAAGACAGGTTTATGATTTAAACCAAGGATACTTCATCTTGGTGTGTCCTGCATTGCTTAACACTTGCATGTGTGTTAATGGTAATGAGGTTTCGGTAAGACATCCCCGGCTGCAGCCCACTGCTGTGGTGCCCGGGGGGGGTCAGCTCGGGGGTGCCTCTGCGCCGGGCCATGTCCTACTGCTGGAAGTCCAGCCCAAATGCAGCATTTCAAAACCCTGCCCTAATCAAAACTGCTTCTCGGTCAGCAAATCATTAATAATCCATCGATCTTGATTCCCAACTGCAGGATAATAGATTGGAGGATCTAGTATTGACTTTTTAAAATTCTGCTGGGAGCTTGCTGTGGGTGTCAGCAACAAGACGGTGTTCTTCAGATGGCTTTCACAGCGCATGGTAATGAGCAAAAGACGAATAATCATGAAATAACCCCCTATTAAAGCTGTAGTGAGAAGCATCAACCTCAGCTGGCCTTAGTATGAAGAGCTTGCTGATGTGATGCAGCTTGTAGCAAAATGATTTAAAAAGATCTAAACGGAGTGGATAATATCCACAATTACCCCGTGGTGCTTCATTAGAAGGAGGTGTTGCTGTGCTGTGCGGGGCTGCCCCGGAGAGGCGGTGAGAGTGACGAGCAGCGAGGAGCAGCGCTTGGGTAACTAATAAGCAGAAGGGCCGGGCATGGCCGGTGGCCGTGGGTGGGTCTGCTGGGCTGGGGTCCTGGTGTGGGGAAGGGAGAGGGAAGGTGCTTAGCTCATCGTGTGCGCCTTTCATAGGCACAACTCAAGCTGTGCTTTCTAAGTTCAAAAATGCCTGTGTTGCTACAGCTGTTTTTCTGAGGCTCATGGTTCAGTGTTCGTTTAGACCTCCTGGTTGAGAACTTGCAGTATGAATGGTTTTACACACACAAAGATGCAGTTTCCTTCCTGAGGCTTAAGTATAATATAAACATATTTTTGTAAGGAGTCTCCACATGCCCTGGAAAGAATTCTTCCCACCCAGAGCCTTCCGCCGTGCTCTCTGTGCTGTGTGAACAGCCTGTTAATCTCAGACGTCTGTCGTATATTTTGGAGATGCAAATACTGGGTTCATAAAACAGAATTGAAAGAGGAAAAAGACCAGATTGATTAGGAAAAGTTTCAGTAGTCTGGTTCCCAGGTCTGCCTGGGATACCTTTTTCTAAATAGCAGATTTCTGGCAGGAGGAGATGTTTGTTTTGAGGTAACTTTGTTGTTTGTTTTGTTTTGTTTTTGTTTTGTTTTTTCTTCAAGGCTGAAGTACATTGCTCGTGCTTACAAGATCCTTTGTATTCTAGGTAGCTAGATGTCCAAAAATAATCCATTTATTCTTTGTAGCAGTCTAGTAAAAAAATCTACCAGTCGTAGAGAGCAAATGAACTGGATATGGTCATAACCGACGAAGATAAAGCATAGCATGTTATCAAAGACAGAAGAGCTTCTACTTTTTAAAGAGATGATTGTGTTTGAGATGTTTTCGTAGTCATTCTTGAGCCAGTTGGTTTCTAACTGATTGCCCTACAGTCTGAACATCCTGTTTCTTGTGGGTTTTTTGGGTTTTTTTTCTTTTTTTTTTTTAAAGGTACTTTTTTTTGTGTACCTGTAGAATGGTCTGTGTACACCCAACATCCCACATCTTGAACGTTTTGGGCAGAAAGAATCACAGTGACAGGATAACGCCGAGACTTTTCCAGACTGGGTGCTGCCCGGAGGCGGGGTGCCGTGGTCATGGGTAGCTCCGGCGGGAGGCAGGGACAGGGGGCTGGCATTGCAGGGCCCCACCGTAGAGTGGTGTCGGGGCAGGGGCCTGGCTGCCTGAGCAGGCACCCCGGCACTGCCGCATCGCTGACCGGGATGGAGTGCTGCGTGGCTGGAGGAGCTCCGTGCTGCTGCTGCAACTCCGCTCACTCACACTTGCATGTGAGGATGGTAGGGCGTTGGGAAGCACACGGTGGCATGCCTGGTATTGGTCCGGTGACGGCGTGCAAACCTGTCCTGATCTCGGAGCAGCTTTGGCTGTGGACAGTCTCAGAGAGCAACATCATGGCTTGCTCACTGTCAAAGAACAAAATTTGTTCTTGCAGATCAGCAATACTGAGGGCTATTAAATCCTTTGCGTTTCTGAAATATTTTCTGTTTTTTCTCTCCAGATGGCAGCTCTTCAGAGTCCTTTCTATGGAGATAAAATGAACCTGTTTTCTCTTTGCCAAAAAATAGAGCAATGTGACTACCCACCTCTTCCAGCTGAACATTATTCTGAAAAGGTAAATAGGGAGCATTTTTGCAGGGGAATGTGGGTGGGGGAATGCAGTGAAGTTCCTCCCCGCGCAGGGGAAGGAAACCTGGGAGGAGAAGCCCCTGCACTATCCCGGGTACCTTTAGGGCTGGCTAAGGAAACTGTCATCGTGATGTCTGAATGTTGACAAGCTAAATTAAGACAGGAAAGAAGATTTCTTAATGTGGGGAATATTTTGAAACCAAAAGTCTTGCGGTGCTGGCAAAAGCCAACAACAAACCGTGGGAAAGCCCTCTCCTTCACTTCCTTTCCCTTAAAATAACATACCATAAAACAGTGCTTAAATTTTTGTTTATGAAGTCTGCAGTGTGTAACAAGGGGGGAAAGATTCTTTTTAAGAAAAAGAAGGGGGAGGAAAGCTATTTAGTTTAATGTGATAAGCATCTATACAGCGGCTGTATGGGGGCTTTTTAAAGTCTGGTGGTTCTGCATGTGAAAGCAAGGGATGGAGAGCAGTAGCTGAAGCGGAGCATATAAAAAAAAATTGTCACTGTGCATGCTTGCTTGGCAATGTTCCACTTCAAGTGCAAACACGCGTGTTGTTTTTGTTGAGAGCCTTTTGAGATGGAGTTTTAAATTTGTTTTTTTCCCCCCCTTACCTAGACAAAGCAGCTGTTTTTCCTTACTTCCTCATTCAGTTACAGTTGCCTTCTATTTGAAAGGAAATGGCTAATGTAATTTTAAATGTTCACCATATCCTTTGGGGTTTTTCTTTTGTTTCAGTCTACCTCAGAGTTCTGAGGAGCAAGAGGCAGGATGCAGGGGAAATACTGTACGCAGCCAGCAGCAGACGGTCTGGTCTCCACCCTGGGAGGGACCCTGCGCCACGCGTTATACATTTTACTTAGGTTTTTACTTGCTAAGTAACTCTTGCAAAAAGATTATTTGAGAACTGTTCTGGAAAAGTGAATTTTTAAATTTTTTTCCCCACCCCCTAAACTGCTGTAGCAGTGAGCCCTGGCTCTCTGCGTTCACGTTTGCCATGCTGTTGTAGCGTGCATTTCAGGATATGCCTGCTGGCAGCAAGAATTAGTGTAAGTTGACAGATGTGTTTCCTGTCTTTACAATTACTGTCTGTTTGCTTCCCTCTGGCAGTGCTAAAGAGTGTGTGTAGTGTAATGATACAATCCAGGGTGAGAAGGATGGTTTAAAGCTCAAAGGCGCCAGGTCCCAGAGAACTAGACTCCAGATGGTGTTCATACACTATTAACAGAATGCTTGACAAAGTCTGAGGAGGGCTGTGCCTTTGGCTGTAGCTCATCTCGCTGCATTAGCTGCTGCTTCTTACTGAAACAGCAAAGAGCTTCAACTTTGTGAATATTAGAACCTGACTCCACCATGAACAATATTTGGTTTAGTACATACTTTTAAAGGTTGTCTTTTCAGTTGCTTTTGGAGTGGATAGCCAAAGGGAAAGGTGTGGTGGTGTCTCCCAGCAGCCAAGCTAGATAAACCACGCAGGCAGGCAGGAGGCATTCCTTCAAGAGTGAATGCCTCTATTTTAGATTGAGAGGGCAGTGTCTTTACAGCCACTCTAATATTGTCACTGCCGCAGGTTTGTAAGCGATGTGGGAAAGCAGTAAAGCCTTTACATCCTCCCGCCCAAAGGCAGGGATGAGGATTAGGCAGTGCCACGCTACCAAAGTTTTTGGTGGTGCCCCAGAGCCATCAGCATGTCTTTCATTCACCTTGGTAATGTGGTCTTGAAGCGAAGCATCAGCTGTAGGCTGATTGCTGGTCACATGAATGTTTTGGTTGCAGTGTTGTTTTAGGTGAACAAAGCATTTATTGAAGAATGCCTGCTTTAATGGTGTTTCCTTTCAGCAATGTTCCTCTTCTCTGCAGCCTTTTGTGGCTAACCAGTGCAAATGCTCCCATGATCAACTGGCATGCTGCTTGTAGCAGGAAGAGGAGCTGGGACTCCAGCCAGGACCAGTTTTCTATATTGGGAACAGCTTTGCTAGTAACTGGAGGTACTGGTTGACGGTGCTTGTCAAGGCTTGGTCCACCAGTTCGTTGCAGGTGATGGTGAGATGCCTGTGCTGTCCTGGGCATTGATAGAGGACAAAACTTCCTGTGTTTAAGTGCGGTATTTACACGGGAACACAGCTACTGGTTGGACAAATTGTACTGATAGTGCAGGCTCTGGTCAGAGCTTTAGAAGCATTTTAAATTGTTTGTGGTTGTGTTGTGGTGATCTTGTCTGATCAGGGCTGAGGAATGTGTTGAATGTTTGGGGTCTCAGGGTTACAAAGGCAGCACCCCCTTGCCCTCAGACGAATCAAAAAAAGTCGCCACAGCAGTTATGAGAGCACGGGCCAGGGCCAGGCGGTGGAGTTGGGTTTACTCTGGCAAGAGCCTGCCTAGGTGGGTTGTATTGCTCTCGGTGCGTGCACACAAAGTGATAGGCAAGGCGGTTAGCAATAACTGCGTTACACCGTGTCCTTGCTGCTTGTGCAGCCTGTGTGCCCCTGCCTCCATCCTGCCTGCGCGTTCGCCGCTCGGCCGCATGCTACCCTGCAGGAATCCCTGCCGAAATGCGCGTCAGGCCCAGCGACAGCTTGGAGTGCGGGGCCTTGCTCCATCCAGAGCTGAAAACCTCACTTTGAGTATGTTCAGTAATGCAGCTGAAGCTGTGTGCTTGATAGCTGTATGGTCGTGCTTTTAATTACCATTAAAATAATTGGCACTGTGGCTACTGGGAGGATGTGAGAAGATCAGAGGCTCAAGGCTGTTTCTCCTGGTGCCTCGGGGGTACGAGCAGCTTTCAGTGTCTGTGTAATTAAAAGCTACAATCTTTCATGTGCACAATAAAGAGGGTTGGGAGGTGGGGAGACTTCAGCCCTTCTGCATTTTATTTATTAAACATAATCCGTGACCAGTCTTTCTCCTTCACAAAGGTTTTTAGGAAACACTCATGTTTGACAGCCATGCTCCAGTATCTTAGGCTACGCAAGTGCTGTTCGGACTTCTTACATTAAAAAGCTTGCACTGGCTTGTTACCCAGGATTGGCGTGGGAAGTGCAGTTGTACGGAGGGCTCTGTTCAGGCTCCCCCCTTTCCTCAGAGTCCACTTTCACTGGCAAGGCCATCCCTGCCTGTCAGCTCGATCAGGTTTCTGGTAATGATCTCATTTTTCCTTCCTTCATCCCCATCCTGCTCATGCCACTGGTGCCTCCCTGGGCCCAGCGCTGCTTCCCCAGCCCATGCCCTCAGTGCACGTCGCTGGGTGGTCCTGTGCGCGGCTCCCTTCCCCGCTCCTCCCGCCCACCGCCCTGTCTCATCCTTCAGAGTCCTGCTTCACCGCAAGCTGCTGGTTGTCCAATGATACTGGTCATCTCTGCTCTGGTTCTCTGAAGTGAATCAAAAATCCCCCAGGAAAAAAGATTATTTTTTTTTTTTTAATTTAAAAAAAACCCAACGCTTTGGAACTCTCAGCGTCAGGAGTAACAGGTCAGAGGGGGTTGTTGCAGTCTCTGTAGAGCCACACTAAACCACTGAGCAGGGAACCCTGAGGTATCTACATGCTAGGGGCGCATTGTAAATGACAATCTAAAATCCATGGGGTTGTGTGGAAGAGTTCAGTCTTCATTGCTGAAGATTTGGTGGAAAAGGTTCTTCCTGATCCTTTTGTAGGATGGGGGGGGAACAACACAGGAGGGATGGACGTGTGCTTGCAGCCTGCCCAGGAATGTCTGCATACAAGAGGTTCCCAGCTCCTGTCCTGGACTCCAGTGGTCACACAAACATTCCCATAGCCTTTTCCAGTAAGAACAGCGGATTCGTTCACCCTTCCATGCCTGTTTTCCTGTCTTTCAGCTGCGGGAGCTGGTCAGCATGTGCATATACCCTGATCCAGATCAAAGACCCGACATTGGTTACGTGCACCAAATAGCAAAACAAATGCATGTTTGGACCTCCAGCACATGAACCATCTGCAAACGCTCTCAAGAAGCCAGCACAGCTCAGTCTTACTTGAATTTTTTTTCTCAGATGAAACCGACTGGTGCCTAGTCACAAAAGTGAGAGGGTTGAGCACTCGTAGCAAGATGCTCCATTATTTCTGCAGGTTATTTGACAAGGACTCTTACAAGGTGGTCAGGCTTTAAAGTGAAGATTCTGTTGAGGTATTGCAAGTGATTTTTCTTTCTTTTTTTTTTTTTAAAGGCCAATAACATGTTACAGATGTAGATCATTTAAGGGTCCTTTCTTAAAACTGTCGTGTGTAATCTAGGATAGATGATATAAACAAGGGTGTCAGAGCCTTTGACACACCCCTTCTATCTTAACTGTAATGTGAAATATTGAAATAATTCCTTCAGTGAAATCACTTTATACTAATGTAAGAATTACAGTAGATTTTGTGTAATTTGTGTAACTGCTACTTTGCCTCTTCTGCAAATGGTTAATAGCAAATTCAGTGTTTACTTCGTATATTTTAAACCAGCCATTTATGTGTTTTTATTAATTCCCTCCTCTTCAGACTTAGGAACTGGGAAGGGTTGGGGAGGGGAGGGGGGGGAAAACACATTTGTTTCAAGATTTCTTTTTTTTTTTTTTAATTGAAGATTTAGAGTGAGTATTTTGCTGATGCATTTATCTGTTAACTTGGCTACAGCCAGTGAGATGAGTTAAGCATGTACCTGGGGAAAAAAGAAAAACATGCCAAACCAACCCAAAACAAGCATTGCTTCTGCAAATAATTTCTCTTTATTTTTTCCATTTGGCATGATTCTTTTTAGACGACAGGTTCTTGTTAAAAACCAGTGTTTATCTAAGCCAACTAGATTTTGGTGAAGATACTTTTACACATTCAGTAGTACGTTAGGTACTATCGGTAAAACTGAAGCAAAGCAGTGTTTTAAACACTTGGAAAATTTTTTAAAAAGAAATTAAATGCTTTGTTTCTCTAATTCTACATATGGATCAGCCCCTGTCTATTTAACTGTGAAAGCTAATTTACAGAATGTGAATTTTTATGGAATCTCAACCTGATTTGAAGGAGTCATCTTCTTTAACGACATGAAAATTTTCAACCAGCTAAATTCATTCATTGAATCAATGATTTGTTTCATTACTGTCGATGAAAAATATTCACTGCTTTAGAAACAAACGTGGATTCACGTTCAAGTGTTTCCATTTCATTTGCCTGTTCCGAGGAACAGGGCTGCACGTAATGCTCTTGAGGACTACAGCGGGGGAAATAACTACGCCTGTACTGTTACAGCGCTGCTTCCACGTGTGACAGTGGCTAATGCCAAAATGTAGATTTGTGTGTGACAGTTCAAATGCAGCCTGTGCCTGTTTTTTTTCTTAAGAAAAGCATACAATCCTTAATTTTTGGAAATAAGATTAGGGTTAGAGGGTTACATACATATATATGCTTTTAGTGGATTATTTTTTTTTAACCTAATTTGCTCTCCTTAAAGGAAAACTGCAGTGCCATCTCCAACTACTTCCTGTTAAATTTCAAAATATTTATATAGGGTAGCAAAGAAAAGCTATCGATTGCTGTGAATAATGTTGGTATCATGAATGCAAGGTGCCATTTTATTGAGTCTTCTCAGCAGAAAGTTAAGCCTGCTGCGCTCATGAGAGATTCAGGAAATTCAAATCAGCATGAGAATGGAGTGGAGGCATGAAATGGCCCCCCCCATTTCCATGCCAACTTGTTTAATTTACACCCGGCTTCTTTAGCAATTCTTGGATTTAAGGCTGCAGACTGTCACTTTTACACTGCAGCTTTCCTTTAAGCCACAGTGGCAGCTGCACATTCAGCGGGATGGTTGTGCTGCGCCTCTCTTGGTGTGACACAGAAAAGGATCTCTGGCTTCCAGGGAAGCTCAGCTTAAATTTGAGTATCTTGAGAAGTCTGGTCACTTTCTTGCTACATAAAATTTATTAGTGCTTGTAAGTAAATGTATTTCAAAAGGTAATTTTTTGCAATTGTGCATTTTTAGATAAATAAAAAATTATTTACAAAATAAACACCTTTGTTTAAAAAAAAAAAGAGTCCAGTATTAAGGAAAAGAAAAAAAACACCACTGAAAACAGGCCTAAATATGTGTGAAACTGTTCCTAACGGATACTTTTCAGAAAATGGATGAATGGACTACATAAACAGTATCAGTTGTCCCAATGGAAAACCATGTATGAGGGTATTTACCCTCTAAATTGTGGCACATCTAACGCTGTTTCTCCTGGGTGTCTGTTGTGGGATGCTAAGAGTGGGGCCTGGTACCAGTTAACCTTTTGAAGCTGACTGTAGATGACACACCTTCCGTTTTGACTAAATGAGAAAATAAATCTGCACATGGATTTTTCCCCACCCCCCAGATTATGTGGTAGTGTATGAAACAGTTTGAAATCACTTTATCTCAAATACTACAAGCTCAGGATTTTAGGACAAAAAAGGTCCAAGTCAAAACAACAATTAGACTTTGAATTATGCTGTCTTCAGTCATGTAATTTAGAACTGATGTGTGTACCAGTGTGGAGTTTGGATCTCCTCCCTATCCTGTCTCTTATCTACAGAAAACAGGGAAGAACGAACACAAACATCCCCTGATAACCAGTATTGCTTACCTGAGTAACAAAGGTAGAAGCAGTCGGCTGTAGGTCAAGGCCAGCAGTTCAGAACCACCCATACTCCCTACTTTCATACCACTTCTTGATCAGGTATGTACCCATCATGAGAAGAACATTGTTAAATTAAAACTCATCAAATTGGGCTTATGCAGAATGGTTTTACCCTTGCTATTTTGTTCCCAGAGCGAAGTAACAAGGCAGCAGTCACACGTGGTGCTTTTTGTGCCCCCCAGTGACAGCAATGCTTGGTGCCCATGCCAGGAGCCCGGCTCTCTCACAGGCCACTCCAGATCTTTCAGGGTAGAGCCCCACTTACTTTCACAGCCCATGCCACTGCAACCAGGGTTGGCTGCTGCGGTTCTGTTCTGCCTGAGCCTCACATTTTCAGCAGTATAAGAAGGGAAAAGCAGCAGAAGAAATCAACACCACATAAAAACATGGATTAGGAGAATGGTCAGAACCCTCTTTATTCTGTATCATCAGCTGCGTGTTTTCTCTAGCTGCTGGAAGGCTTCTAAATCTAACTAGTGCTGGTCTGCAGTGCCACAGCAGGGCTGCGTGTGACGGTTCAGGAGGTGTCCATGGTTTGTACAGTTTCATCCAGCACCTCAATTTCCAGGAGTGCTACGTTTTCTGTGAGAACAGCAGTAGTTCCTTTTTCACACTTGTATCTACCGTACCTGTTTAAGAAATAGGTGAAAATTAAGCTGGAAGATGGTACTACATCAGAAAAGCTCTCATTTAAAATTTTAGAACTACTCAGCTTTCTCTAGAAGTTTTCTATAAAAGTCACAAGTAAAGGAACTGTGCGTACTGCAAAATCTGAACTGATTGCAATAACTGATGAAGTTTCAGATAAACTAGCATTTTTTAGGAAACACGTCTTCAAAAAAAATAAATTACCAAGTAACTGGAAAGGCTACTTTACAGAAATAAGTGGGATCTCATCATAGTGTCGGACATTCTTACTCTGTACCTTCACTCAAAAACCAAGCAATTTATTTTTTTTGCAACCCTAGAATAATTTTACCACTGTATGAACTGTGGATTTCTGTGCTAAAAATTAGCTAACATTCAACAAAGACTGCCTGTAATCAAGCCATGTTTCATGTAATAAAAACACTCTCCTAGCAGGCCACCTATAGACGTTTCTGCTCAGAAGTGTCACACTTATGGAGCTGCACAGTAAGAAATCCAAAAGACCTTTAACTGGAGCAGTGCAATTCTTGGTGGCTTTGGCCATAGTGTCTGCCTTAAAAAGAAGGGAAAAAGCAATTTCTTTAAACTCTGCTGTTTTGGCAGGGGATTGAAAAGTTGCACAACCACAGGATACGTCCTGAACTGTAACCTTGTTCCCAAAGAGTTCCATACTTGAATGTTTATGACTGAAAATTTAGGAGATTCAGAATTACTGTCTTAAGGAAACAAGCAACAGAATAATGTCACCTTTGTGAAGGATCTACAGTACAGTGTCACATGCTGTGCAACCCTTCCATGCGCTTTAAGGAAATGAACACCAAGAATGGTAAAACAGGGGCTGTACAGAAATCTGTCTTTTTGATGGGGCTTGCCAAATGAAAGAGCTAGGAACAAAAAGCAAAAGTTTCTACCCTCTGGAAATGGTTGAGAGAGGACTGTTTGATTATGAAAGCATGAACGCTTACAAGCTTTTTTTTTATTTATTTATACATGAAACGGGACTCAAGTTTAGTTCAACAAAAAAAATCATCTTGTGACTTCTGTATTTAGCTATTAACTGTAAACTGTCCTTTCAACACATCACAATATATTTCTGGACAATTGGGAGGAAACTAGTGATTAAAAGAATGTCTGTGTTGTCTTAGAAATCTTGCATAAGGCATGTTTTCCAGCCACTGGCTGGAAGGGTCCTTCAGAAATCGAATAAAACACAACCTAGTAGGCACAGGCTTGAGCTTTGGAGTTTTCTCTTGGTTTTTAGCTTTGTCCTGCAGCGAGTTTGTATGCAGCAGCTAACGACAGGCCCTGCTGCCCAATACTGCTTTTTCAAATCCCCACGCTAAGATAGGCAGAACTGCGGAGGGGACAGCGATGCCACCGGTCTTTCTGACACCACACAAATTTCAGCAAGAACAGAGTGGAACAAGACTATGCTGCTACCTGATAGCAAAAGAAACTCCAGAATCTGCTCAGTCACAAATGCAAAACTTCATTACTTCCTCAAACTGCCCGAAACTCAAGAGCAGTCTCCTGGCCTGGTGAAGTGGTGGCAGGTAAGGAATTCATTGGTTTCCTTCACACGTCTCTACGTGCCACTAGCAGCCTCTATTCAGCTGCAGGTACAGCCACTAATTTTTTCTTCTTTAGTTGAAATTCATATACAGCTCTAGAGATTACGCTGTCAAAATTTAGTACTACAGAGAACAGGAATTGCTGGGAAGAGCATGGATAACGCACAGCTTCAGGAACACTGACCTGTCCCCCTTTCTGTTGGCCACATCATACGGACGGAGAAAATCCAGCTTGTTCTTGCTTATAACACAGATATCGATGTTGCTGCCAGAGCCCAGATCATTGTATATGCCAGCTGCAATGGCATCTCTTACAAGCTGTTTGGCTTCCTCTTCCTGGAAAAGTTAAAAAAGCTGTCATTGTACAAGTGTTGGCATTTCACAGAAATGTTTGTCCATGTGACAGTGGAAGCTGTGAACTCCCGCAACAGTAAATGAGATACCGGCACCTTCTTAATCACTGAAGTACTGCAGAGCATTAACGAGAGTGCTGTGTGCAGGGACAACCTTTTATCCTGTTCATCGGCCACCACCCCCAGGATGGATCAGACTTAGGAAAGACAGGCAAGGAAGCAATATTAAGATTTTTGTCTTACTGAATGGAGAACATAAATTTTACAATTTTTGTCTTCCAGGCTTTTGTGCACGTGTACATTACAAGTTCCCTACAGTGGCCCTCTGTGTAACAGCTGCATACAAATTAAAGATTCATACTAGTTTAGTTGCACAACTTCCCTAG